AGAACAGAACGACGCAGGTGAAAAAAGAGGTTTTGTAATGCAGAGGCAGAGAAACAGAAGAAGATGGATAACCTAGAAATAAAGGCAGAGTAAACCTTTCTGAAAAGCCTTAAAGTCTATCTGCCGATGAGCCTCTGTAATAGTGGAGGAAACTGACAAATCAGTGTTATGGCAAAGTCAACGACAAGCACTACAATGTGAGGAGAAGGGAGAAAGTGACAAATGCATATAGGTTTTATTTCATGGATTGTTAGATGGCAGTAAAAAAGTCCATTCACTCTGTTCCCATATACGATGGGAGGAAGCAGACATGACCTGCACAATGCATACTCAGACATAACGATAGAGATCCAAGGAGATGGGGAGGTGTGCGAGACAGGCTGTTGGAAGTTACAGACAGGAGCTCAACAGCTGGGCAGAGACTTCACTCCGGCGAGATGACAGATCAGGGAGGATGTAGAGAAGTCGGTGGAAAAAAAAAGGGAGGGAGGGGGGTGAGAGACATTGGTAGAGCACACAGAGAGAGAAAGAGAGAGAGAGGGAGAAAATTAAAAGAGGGGTGTAAAGGGAGGAGAGAGACAGGAAAAGAGTGGTTTAAAACAAGCAGGTCTGCTGGGTGTAAAGTTTCCCCTGGATATGATATGTGGATATGGGGATGTCATGAAGCCTGTGAAGTGGAAATAATAAAGAATTAGGATTGTCTCTGAAGACAGGGGAATTAATCCAAAATGAATTACGGAGGGGAGAGAGAGAGAGGAGGGGGAAAAAAATCAACATCAGCTATTTCCTTTTCCTCTGCTTGGAGGCAGATAGGGGGCGGTTTGTGCAAGTACTGTGAATCCCATAAAAATTAAATTAATAACAACGGGAAAACACACACACACACACACACACACACACACAAATAAAAGCGGAAAAATTAGTAATACGGGGGCGGAGAGAGATAGTCGAACAGAGAGTAAGGGTACGGATGGTGAAAAAAAGAGAAAGACAAGAGAGAGATTTTGAGGGAGCTGAGGGTGGGCACTGTTGCTGCCAGATTGCACTGCTCTTTTGTTCCCCCTTCGTCTTTCTGGAAAGTGCTGCCGGTGTTAAAGAGGAGATGCCACGGAGGCCATTGTAATAAATGCCACTTGTAAATTGCGGAGTGGAATTATACAGCGTGCAGATGGATCCATACGCCTGAGCAAAACGTGGCCAAAAAACCGGGAGCGATAATTAAGACTTAGGGGGTGAATGACAGAGCCATTTGTGACGACGGAATATGGCGTCTCCCAGCTCTCTGGGAAACAGAAGGGCTCAGAGAGGCTCGGTGTCACAAAACATTACCCACACAGCTGTTGGCTTTATGAGCAGCAATGGTGTACTCCCTTTTCCTCCCTCCCCTCTCCCTCTCATCCCCTTTTACTCTCTATCTCTTTCGACCCTCTTCTTTTCCACCCACAAACACCCGTCTCTCCTTGGTCACCACACAGAGGTGCTGTTTTTTTTTTTTTTTCCGCAGTTTGTGCCATTTCGAAAACAACCAACTCCACCATCAGCTCTACCATCAATTTCGCCTTCTACACCTCACACCACCATCCTTGCCATTTCAGAGGGACTAGACAAGGACTTGTACTCCATCATTCATATCCTGGGGAGTGGAGGAGGAGGAGGCACTCGGCATGCACACAAATATAGAGTAACACCCTGGCTGAAAATTCAATAAAAAGCACTGACACTGACAGTGGTTGGTGTTGTTTTGAATGGGAGTTTGGGCTTACTGGGGCTCTGGACTGACTTTCAAGTAGGAAAATCAAATTCTGTTGTTTTTTTCCCTCTCTCATTGTTAAAAGAAAACATTTTTGTATGCCAAACCTACTCTCACAATGTCCGCACAGCTCCATGCATGCTGCACTGCTTCTAAGGTCCAGGGATCATGACTGTGCTTGTTGATTTTGCAGCTTTCTTTAACTTATTCCTCTAAAAATGACCCCATGCTTTCATGTGGGCACTGCTGGGAATTTGCCACACCTGCTGATCAACAAGTGCAACTTTTTTCTATCCGAGTACCTCTTTTGATTTATACGGTGGCTGAGAACCACCACTGCTTCGAATTAAAAAAGAATTTAAAAAGAAGGCGGTGCAGATTAAAAAAAAAAAAAGGCACAATGGAAGCTATTGATGCAAAAAAATGTGGCAATGCAAAAAAAAAAAAAGTAACTTACTGCAAAAATAAAAGGATGCATATAAGAAAAGCCACAATGGAAGTGAGCTGCTGGGGACAAATAATGATGACGCACCGGTGTTTTATAATCTAGGCACAGAAGACGACGACGAAAAGACATTTTGTGGAAAGGTTATTGTTAAATTTTGCTTCATAAACTTTTACAAGTACACGAGGCGAAATTAAAAAAAAGGCCTTTCCACTTACTTCTTTGCATACCTTTCCACCATCGTCTTCTGTGCCTAGATTGGAAAACACTGGCGCACCATCATTGTTGGTCCCCAGCAGCTCACTTCCGTTGTGGCTTTATTTTTAAACGCATCCTTTTATTTTAGCAGTAAGTTCTTTTTTTTGACATCGCCACTTTTTTTTGTGTAGTTAACTTCCATTCTGACTTTTTTTTTTATTTATCTGCAGCGGGCTTTAGTTTCTTTCTTTTTTTCGGCATCGGTAACTTCTGTTGTGGCTTCTTCTTCTTTTTTTTTTTGCATTCTTTTTTATTTGGAGCAGTGGCCATTCTCGGCCACCGTAGCCCAGGGATAATGACTGTGCTTGTTGATTTTGCAGCTTTCTTTAACTTATTCCACTAAAAATGACCCCATGCTTTCATGTGGGCACTGCTGGGAATTCACAACACCTGCTGATCAACAAGTGCAAGTTTGTTTTGTACCTGAGTACCTCTTTTGATTTACTATCACTACACAAACACAACCAAGAGGAAGTTCTTCGCCTTTTTCCTGCTAGAGGAATTAAGTGATTCTAGTTCCGATGCGTCCCCTAAACTGTGCCCTTTAGTCTCTGTCTCCCTGTTAAGTCCATCTATCTCTCTGCCTGGCTGGCCAGCCCTGTCTTCTGGTCGTGTCTACCTCTTTGTCTCTGTCCCAGGAGCCTTGGTGAGCGTGCAGAGTAGCCTTACGAAGTCTTAACTCAAACGAGACCCCTTCGCGCCCCGTTAAACCACCGACCTTCTCTGTCACTCCTGTCGCCCGCTGCTGCAGACGACAGGGGCCTGAGCTGCAAGCTAAGAGACCCCGAGCTCGATAAAAGTGTGGGTGATTAAACAACTCCCTGTAATTGCTCCTTTTGTGCAGGAATCAAACGGTCGCACTTATTATAGAGGCAGGGGGAGAGGAGAGAGGGTGGGAGTGGTTGTTTCCGCCAAGGGGCAGACACCCTGAGTGACCTTCTGGCCTCCCGTCAGTGCTCCTTTATCTGACCAAACAACCTCTGTGAGGTGTGTGTGTGTGTGTTTACCTGCACGAGTATGCGCTAATGCCCATAAAGTGTGCGTGCCCGAGCGTGTGTTAAGTATGCAAAGAAAGCAGAGGACGCATAGCGAAGTACAGTAACACCAGAGCTCCCCTCAGTGGTGGATGTTGGAACTACAACAGAAACCGGCCAGCTGGCTTTGGTAATGGGGGACAAAGCCAAACCAGGGGACCGTGTCCAACATGAGGGCCGGGTTTCAGAGATCATAGTAACATGTGAACCACACACATCATCTGCTAGTCACGCACATACACATACATGTACAGATATCAGTTCAAGGGCCCAGCCACAGGCCCCGTCAAATAGGGTCAGCTCATGAAGGGAGGGGCCCAATTACTGCAGCCACAAATACACACATAAAGTGCCTTTCAAGGGTCCATGAGTGCTTCAGCTTCCCCATGATTATGCCCACTCTCTACACACCCAGCACTTGTCATACACATGCAGCGCCTCCTCTGCCAAAACAGCCATCAGACCAGACTTTTGCCGCAGGACAGAGATGTGTTTGAAAGAGTTAGAGTTTCCTGTGGTCAGAGAGGAGGAGAGAGAGAAGGAAAGAGGGAAAGCAGAGTGAGCGGTGGGCTGGTCAACAACTATAAATGCTCTCTGCTTTCTTTGGGGTGAAAGCATACCTTGTCATTTTCAAGCAGGAAAGATTGGAGTTGAGGAAATCAATGTAAACTTGAATGAATTTGTGATGCAATAAACTGAAAACTTTTAGGTGTACTTTCAGCTAGCCTGTGGGTACTGCAGTATATGATGTATATGGTTTGCCCTGCACCATTTCCTCCAAAACTAAATCAATAATTTTGAAAAAATGATATCAATTTTAAGTTTTGAGGACTCCAATGTTTTTTCCTAAAAATAAAATGAAAAAAAACTTAACTCTTCACAGTGATCTAGTGTGTGTAGTTAATTTTTTTGTCACAAACATGCCAAACTTATGCTTTTTAATTTTCTCAGTTGGACGCCAGTTCAAAAGGGCTGGAAGCAACAACCACTGCTTGCATTAGTACTAAACCTCCCCCTTAAAATCCACTTGCATAATGTGGTATTAAATAGATACAGTATATGAGGCTTTCACAGGATGAATTTTTTTCTGTTTATTACTCACTCTTCTATTCAAAATCGAAAATATATATGTATATATTTGGGTAATTGTATATTGCCATGTTTGTGACACAAAATTTTACTACATCTATGAAGTATATTCTGTTTTCTTAACACTGGGCACAAAGGCTTTTTAAATGACATGAGACCAAGTGTAGTAATTTAGCTAATAAGAAAAGTTTCCCTCTTAATTTCTCACTGCATTAACTTTATAAAGGATATTCATGCGAGAGTTATGAATGGGAGAAAATTCAGGCTAAACCTCAAACAGAGGACTCAGGTGGTCGATGTATATATGTCTAAAGAGTGATGGTGCCCCCTTCTGCCGAGAAGGCTCACACAAAGCCTCGGCTACTCCAGAAAATTCTGCATCAAATGACCAAAGTATTTTCCACCCAGACATTGAAGAAAAGAAGACTGTGTATAAAACTGTGCAAAATCAGGCTTTATTCTTTCTTCCCCTGCATCGTCGCCTTTTTTCATCATCATCGTAATCACCATCATTGTCGTCAACATCATCCTTGAAAACATTACTCACAGACAGCCAGAGAAGAGATTTCCGAAAGAGACCGGCAGCTCAAATCTCTTGGCAAAAAACCCGAAATAAAACAAAACAAAGAAACAGGCATCAGCTATTAGCACAGTCCCGCAACACAAAGAGTAAGCTGTACATGTCCATTTCTTTCTGGGCAATACATTTCAACCAGGTCTCCAATCTCCTTATTTAGTGTTTCCCTCTTTAGTGCCTCAAAGTCCATTCAGTAGTCAGAGTTTGAAGTTCCAGGAGACGCTAAAAATCCCATCTCAGTACAGACGTGGTTAAGATGGTGGATAATATAGTCTTGCTGCCTCCTGTAATATTTTCCCCCCTTTGTTTTCCTCCAATAGTACGTCTACTGAAGGTCCGAGAACAGTCCATTTCTCCAGCCTAGGCAAACTTTGAATAAGTGCAATGTCTAGTATAATGTCAAGAAAATACAAACCCACACGTACATACGTACATACATACATACATACAGTACATGACTAACTTATAAACTTGATAAGCTATACAAGGTTGCCGTTCTCCGAGGTGAAACCATAAGAGTTGCACATTAATGCAGGTTTTTAACATCCAGTATCCATTAGGACGGGGCAGAGAGGATGTGAGCTTACCTCATCTGGATCAGTAGATGGTTTGGTTAACTGTCATGAGTTTCTGTACAGTAGATTTTGTAAGTTGTGACAGAGATGTGAACCAGATTAAGAAAAAACATAACTGCATCAATCAAATGATAGCAAGAAACCTATTGTGGTTTTTTGACTTTTTTTTTTCAACATGTGACAAATGTGTTGCTAGTTTAATCCCAATTTGAACATTTTCCTTCAAAGGATCACATTATTACATTTTAAAAATAAAAGTTTTTTTGCCTAAAATATCCTCAACTTTGCAAATTTCACAACCGGAAAGCAGAGAAACGCCAAACTCACTGCAAATGACACTTACGATCAACTAAAAACAGTTGTCATAGTTCGTTAACAAAGGCAAAACTTTGTGAACACAGCAGTTGATGAACACGACAGAAAAATGTTGTATCATTGCCTACTTTTTAGGTACTTCAGTATCACCTCTGGCTGTATGAAACACAGGAAAATAACTGTGTGGAGGCTAGAAGAACAAACACCATCCTCAGCAAACCAGTTTAATGAACACAGAGTATCTGAAAGCATAAAAGTATTCAGACTGGGCTGTTAATTCCCAGTGGGACATGCACTGATAGCAGCCCTTGTAGATCAAGCTCGGAGGAAATTATATGAGCCTTATTGTTCTTGTTGTTGTTGATGCTGCCATGTTATACTTCAAGAAGAATTTGATGAATATCTCCACTTCATTTTGTCTGACATCTGGGTGCTATAAAGTTTTTAAAAGGTGCATCATAGGTGTCTCCATTTAGCGATGAAAAATGCTGTTAATGGCAGGAATTTTACATTTCATGATGATATCAAAAACAAAGTGCCTACAGTGTTCAGTTCAAGTCACACCTCGCTTTTGAGATTCTGGGATTTCCACACAATGTACAAGAGACCATAACAGCAACAGCAGCGCTCACCTCTCTAGTAGCCATGTTCCGGACTTAATCTGAAAAATATCAATTCAACAAATTGATGAAAAAAATAAAAACTAATAGGACACACTTCTACAAGCATGAAAATCCATCACTTCTTTGCAACGAAGGGATGTACATTAGATTTAGATTTTTTTTTAGATATACAAGAACAGAAATATCGGATAAGTTCAAAGGGCTTAAAAGTAAAAGTGCAGCAAAAAAAGGAAAAAGCCAAGTTGAACCGGGATTTTATAAGTCTGTATGAACAGCCTTTGTCTTTCTCTATCATTGGTGTGCAGTTTAGTTGTGAATATTTGGAGAAAAAGAGATGTAAAACCTCACAATGGGTGCAATCAACGTATAATGCATAACACTTGGAGAAAAGGGATAAAGGAAACAGAGGAATATGATCAGACCAGAACCAAAGGACTTGAGAAACAATGTGCTCAAGAGCTCCCTCAGCCCTTAGTAACAGGCCTGAGGTCAGCTCGCCCGAACATTCACCGTCTGCCTGCCCGTGTGCCCCCACCAGAGAGACCTCTGGAGAACCTCCATTAGCTGGAGTAGATCTGGGTCCCAATCACACGCATGATTTCCTTCTGCACCTTAGGCTCCTGGGTGTTGATGTTGGCATCTCCTACTTGGCCATCCTCATACCTGCACACACGAAGATAAGGGTCGACATATGCTCATGCTTTCATCAACAGCTGCTCAGGTTTCCATCAACCTCTCCTGCTCACTTACTCAATTTCAAATGCTCTATGCTGTTAAAAGGGCTGAGGTTTAAAAAGAAGTTCACTGACAGTTCAAATTTCCTCATCAACATGATACTCCACTGAGGAAAACAAGGCTTTCTTATGATCAGCTGCTGTAAATTGTTGTTCTTTCAGAAAGTAAATAAATAGGAGTGATTTTTCAGGGTTCTTGTTTGTTTTTTACACAAACCACATAAAGCATTTCTTCAAGCTGAAAAATATGACCACACACTCAGCAGAACTTCAGAATTGAATTATATTTAGCTGTAATTTAAATTTGATTGCAGGCCATCTCAGATCTAATTTTCAACTCGGAAAACAGCAGTGCACATGATAATAGACTTTGCCATCTGGTGAATGCACGAGTCCAAAGCATGGACTAAAAGCTCTAACATAAGCAGCCAGTCTGAATAACGTGTTTTATGTACTGAGCCACAAAAAAAAAAAAAAGTGTTTCAAACATCATGTTGAAAGGTTTCGAGCTGAGAGGAACCCTCTTTAGTGGAGTGGTGGCACCACTCAACCAAAATCACAATGTGTTCACTGATTATTTGAAAAGATGATGAGCGATGTAGGAAAGTGCAGCACTGACAATCTTTCTTTTTTTTTTTTCAACACGCTTGACAACAGTTTCAAACTTAATGGTTTCTCAAGACTGTGAGAATTAGAGAAAACTTTTATTTTGTGTTATCACTGAGGAGTTAGAAATGATGAGAAACACTCACACAAAAAAGAAGCGAGTACAGACGTGGTCGGAAACTGGACACACCCAGATGTTGCCATGTTTCTGCAGATCCTTGGATGTGATCACTGTTCAAAATAGAGACACAGGTTACACCATAAGTGAAAAATGATCAATATGGTTGTGCTTTCTGTATTTCCATTAGTACTGTCTTACTATTTTGGTGTTAAAAACCCCACAATTTGATTATTATGACTATTTATGAGACCTACATTATGTAACTGTGTTGAAACTTGTCATGTTGCATCTGCCTTATAGATGATATTTCTTTATTTTAGAGAAAACCCTGCATTTTATTTTCAATATAAAGTTATTATCATACAAAGCATGTAATGAATTCTAATCAAGTGCTTCATATCCATTATAATCTTAGTTTTTCATTTAAAAAAATCCCTCTGTTACTGAGTACCTTCACACAGAGCGATGCAGTTCAGGTTCCGACTCTGAAGAAACCTTGATTGTATCGGACGACTCTGTAAAAAAATACAAAAGCACTGATATTGAGAGGACTGTCCAAACACTGAATTTGTACCAATTCTAACACGCACAAATAAGTTACAGATGTTGTATTGATTATTTTGCCTTCGTTCTCCAGCTTACATCTCTGGATATACTTCAAATCTAAATCACGCAGCCACACGATCTGTGAAGATGTTACAGTATTCTTATTCTTTCCATGAAATAAGTCAATATGGGACTGTGATATGTCCAGTCCTCCCACCTGTGGTATGGTGTTCATGCGGTTGTAACGTTGCACCAGTTCATCTTTGGTGGGCATACGATGCTGTCCTTTCCCCATTCCTGCAAGACGCAGCACACAGAGAGCTAATAAGCCAGAGTCAGAACGACCTTACCTCGAGTCACTCAAGCTGTGAAAACCCTTCCTCTAGTGGTCTTAAATTCCCTCTACAGAGAAATTATTACCCACAGTGCTCACCTTCAGGCAAAGGTTATTCTCCCCAAATGCTACAGAGTATTACTACATGAGCTGCAACATTCTTCGGACAAAAACCAAAGAAATCTCAGCTAGTTCTGATCATTTCTCTCATCATTCATTTTTTTTAACCTGATTTTGATTTAGCAAGGAAGATGAAGCCAAAAACAATTTGTGAGAATATCAGTTGCGATCTTGAACTTGGAGTTAGCCCATACCCCTCCTGAGGAGTGGAAACCCATTACTTGGAGCCTTATTACCAGTGCCAACAGGTGGGCTCTTTGGTAACTCCCTGACCTCTAACCAAAACCAAAATATTACAGTAAGACCTAAAAATCAACTTCATGAAAATCAAAGTCAACTTTCAAGTCAAAACATAAGTCCACTTGCTTTCTTTTAATTAAATGACTCACCACTTATGACAAACAACAAGTACACAAGACCCAACAAAGCACAATGTAACACTCACAGGTCCAATGGCAGCTCCACTTACACAGCCACAACATCACGTATGGTATGTTAGATGGCGCACAGGCTCTGAGAAAGGGCCAGAGGCCCAGCACCCAAAACAGACACACAACACAGTACAGCACAAATGGAAAGCTCCCACATGTGGAAATGAAGTGATCCAGGATGAAATTCAGGCCATGATACAAACACAAAGCTTACTCAGTCAACATGGGGGGTAAAAAAAGGGTAGAGGAGGACCTCGGGGGGCTGATGAGCGAAGACTGAGCCATCCCTACCTGAGTATCCGAAAGATATGCTGGAGATGGGGCTCAGATAGATGCCCTTTCCATACGCTGCCCCATGCAGCTTGGGTTTGAAAAGAGCAGGAAGGAAGGAAGGGTCACTGAGCACTATCACACACAATACATCAGACATATCCTTCTGCAGTTCAATTACAAGGAAGCACCTGAGTCGTGTTTTTCATGGTTTCTCAACTTTTTAGCGTAACTACGGCACTGACAGAGATGATTAAATACACACACTCACTCAGACACAAACACAACCAAACATGGCAGAGAGCAAAGAGCCAGACTAAGAAATACTCTTTTTGTCATAAGAGATGAATATTTTCCCCTTACATCTTGATGTTATCTCCTTAAGTGCATGTAATTCTCAGAAATTTTGTGAGTAAAATTTGTGATGAAATTGTTCAGCTTTTCCAGAAATTCTGACATGAGACATGAGGAAATGTGCATAAAGGTGGTGAAGGATGAGCTTCCACAAAAGAATGTGAAGATTTGAGGAAAAGAAAGGACTGCTGGTGCAACATCCTGACAAGCCACCGAGAATCAGGGAGAAACATGAGGAGGAATAAAAACGGACTTGATAATGTGGGTGATAAAATGTGAGGAAAATGAAGTCAGGACTTGGCACATTTGTAAGAAATCAAAAGGAACACTAAACAAGAGTTCTTTTTTGTGATAGCAGGAGCTGGAGACAGACCCCTTCTTTCTCCTCCTGTGAAATACAATGACAGAGGAAGGAGGGGTGTCAGTGCTCAAGGTGAAGAGGAGAGGAGAAAGAGGAGGCGGACGAGCACTGAGGCTAGATCAAAGATGGAGAGGTTCAACAAAAGTTGGAGAACAAAGACGGCATAAATGAAACACATCAGCATGATAGAGCAATCATGACCGACGCGAACATTTCAAAGATCCTTGAGATTTCAGACTTTGTTGTGTTTCATCTCTTTTAGAACATGTCGCTGTATCTCCAAGCAGTCGTTATTGACATCTCTGCACAATGAAACAATTCTGCACCCTTTTTAGGGATTTTTTCTTATTTTATTTCTTTGCCCAGGTCGCACAGTGAAGCTCCCACCTTAGCAGAACAACATTAAGGTGCAGACATCAGTGAGAAAGGCTTACATGTTGAATAAAAGTAAGGTTTTATTTTTCTGCTTTGAAATCAATGGCTTCTACAAGCTTTTTGGATGATTTATGGCTACAATCTTAACTGTCCGGATAGATATTTAGTGGTGCTGGTTACTGACCTTTGTTTTCACCCTCAGGAAGTCTATACTCACTATTTTGGAGTTCTTCCTCTGCATCCTTCAGCTCCAGACCTAGCCTACTCCATGCTCTAGGTGGTTAAACCCCACAGGGCACAACAGCATTTTCCTAGCATCACAGCTGACACCACAGCCCCCTCCCTTTGTCGCACAACAGGAAGAGATGTGCTGTCTGCTGCTGCTGGCTGAGGAGGCAAAAATCAGCCAGCATGTACCAGGAAATCTCCTATTGTGCCCCACTCGCTAAAATGCCAATATTGCAAAGGTGACGAAAAGGGAAGCTGGCATCCATTAACTGCAAAAATGAATCAGCCGGACAGCGAGCCTGCTCTGTCTGAGAGCAGGATCACTGTCCGAGAGGGGATGCATCGTAAATTCCAGCCAACTGTCAGGGTTACGTACCTGCAGTTTGGTATAAGAGGCATTGACTAGTCCATTTCTCAGAACAGAGTGCCAGTTCTCTATATGGGAACCACTAGAGCAAGTGTAGAGAGAGGGAGAGATAAGAAAGAAGAGATAAAACAAAAGTGCTGCAAGAATATAAATGGTGCATCCCAGAATAAATTGTAACCACTGCTGTGGAGCAGCCAGATCCAGAAATGTTCAGAAATGTTGACTACGAGAGAACTGTGATGCAGTGTGTGGTCTGATTCACTGACAATGACAGGCCAACTGACTTTTTACAGGTGAATAACGTACTTTTATCGTTAACTGTAAATGAAAACACCAGCTATTAAACGATCGACAAAAGCATGACTTTGGTAATTTATTTTTATAACTTGTGCAGACATTTTGAGATTTTTGGATGCATCATTTAAGTCGTACAAGTTTGTATAATTTCATAATAAAAGAGTAGCAAAGACCGAGATCTGTGTCCCTGTGTGGGTATCTAAAAATAAAATACAGCAGCTTTAGCAGTGTCAGATGTTCTGTTATTTTTGACTAGCCTTGAATCAGCAGGAGGTCCTTGTTTCCCAAAATCAAAAAAACACACAGAGAGAAACTCTCATAAACTCTTCCAAATCCTGCAGACATTCATTCAAGTCACTCAGAGCGCATAATTCTATGTTTGTTTGTTTCTATTTATACCAGAATAAAACGATGGCAGCCAAGTCGACTAATTTCCTGTGTAGAATTATTAAATTTGTACTATTAACCAGCACTAAGCACTGCTTGTGAATTAGTTGTACCCTGAAAGTTCCCAAATGGGTTGTGTGTATCTAAAATATTCAGCAGAGCCCCATCTGCTACAGTTCAAATCTCCATCTCACAGATAGTGCTGGATCCATGTGCTGGCTAAGCGAGGTGGTTTCTCTGTCCAAGAGAACTGCCACTGCCCTGTGCTGTTGTTTGTTATGGTTCCATAAAAATCTGCTAGAGTGGCTCCATGGTCTGCAACATAATGACCAGGTGTTACACTGAGACGTGTTCATGTTTGATAGAGTGTACTGCTGTAATGCTAAATTATGCATGCATTCCAGTGCCTATGCTTGATTTGAAATCAATTATTTACAGCAAATGATTTCTCATATTATAACTGTGCAACGGCCACAAACTGCACAACATAAACAGCGAATTATTCTCTGAAATTTTATAAATATTCAAAATGATTTTGACTCATAAGCCGTACAGGCCTTAAAATAGTCATTAAATGAAAACAGTTTCCTTTGTATGAATGCTGTGTCAGCTAATGAGAGGAACAAAGTGGACTCACTGGAAGGCGAAGGTGCTGCCGTAGAGCTTCTTGGCAGTGCGAAAACGAGCCTCCTTGGCAGGGGGGCTGCTGAGCAGCAGGAACTGGTGGGAGGTGTGCATGAATTTCAGTTGCTGTCACAATGAGGTCAGAAGGGACAAGTGAGAGAAAGAGAGACAAACAGACGCATAAGGAGGATAAGCGTGTAGCATTAAAAAATGGATAAAGGACACTTGAGAGGATGTTGTTCTGGCTCCCTACCCTACTCAGAGGCAGCTTGACGATATGAGATCTGTTACTGGAAATAATCCTGCAGAGAGACGAAGAGAGAAACAAAATAAACAATGTTAGAAGTACCTACCATCACACTATCACTTCTTCAGGCTTTGACAGAGCAGGAGCAGTGGTGTTTGTCATGACAGTATGGCAAAGAGCTACCAATGGAAATCTACTGTCTTTAATTATACTTGTGATTTTCAGCTCTCATGTGTCTATTAACAAGGCTCGACTGTGTTGCCATGTATCACTGACCTAGTATATTTGGTTTGATATGATCACCAGACCTTGAGAACATTCTGCCAAAGTGAGCTGAATTTGAAAACAGATCCTCTCTACTCACCACTGCAGCAGGGGATGAGCCAAAGGGTCAAGTTTGTCCATCTGTTTCTTGATCTCTAGATATGAGCCCTGAAAGTGAACAGGCAAAAATGTGATTGTTTGTTTTTGCATTTTTGTTTTACACAAGTGTCTAAATACAAACATATGTGTTTTAGGTACTGTGCAGATACAGCCATGCTCCAGCGGTTTAATCAACAATAGAAAGAAGAAGGGTAACAACTGTCCCTTCAATAAACAAAGACTCCACACCTGTAGTTTCAAAACTGTGAAACAGGATTCCTCCAGTCATTAGAAACTACTAACATTAACAAAGCCAAAGCTGTGACATGGTTCTTATACTTGTACCTGTGTCATTTCCCGAATAGACATAACGCTGTCCAATGCTTTCTGCAGTCTTTCATAATTCTTCTTCTGTGTTCATCGGTTGAGCCAAACATCCATTGTAAGCAATGAGAGAGGGAACAACAAACAGACATGTAAAATCACAAAAAAAATACCAATTTAGAAAAGATTCCTGCTGTTTCTGAATCACTTCTGTCTTGTGTATGAAAACCAAAAGTATCTTTATGTTGCATAATTATCAAAATTAAAAACTTATTTCAGTTATATGACCTGATGTTTTTGTTTAATTGTCATGCTCAAATATGTAATCACAGCTAAGGCAGCAAGGATGCTGACCTTTGGGTTGAAGGCCAGAGTCTTGGGGTCATTGGGGTCAACAACTGAGGGGTACGGCTCAAAGATGATGCTCTTACGGGGAGACTCAAGAGCAGCTCGGCACATGGCAACAAGAAGGTCGACCACCTGAGGAGAGAGGGGATGTATTGTTACACTGTTACCCTTAAACATGCTCTCAAATTAAATGTGAATACAAACATATCATAAACATTACACACTGGTCTCTATAATACTGTGCACTACCTGTATTGTTATTCTCACCTCTGCTCCAGTCGCCACCTCCTCTGCAGCTCCAGACATCACACCCAGAGTGTAAAATGAGAACACACACAGTTCTCTAGTGCACACAGCGGGCTTTAGAAACACAAACAAATGTAGTCACAGAGATTAAATACAGATCTTCAATCTTAAACGTATATCTACAAAAAGACTAAAGCATGCTCATGCTCCAACAAAGTCTTTATTTAATTTTAAATACAAATCCCTTTCTGCATCATTCATTCAGCGTTTGTATGTTTCTCTTTCTCGTGTCCGTTACCTTCAGCATCGATCCATTCTGAAAGACATGCTGTTCGTCACACACCACGCAGTACTCGTTGAGTGTTGGGATCCTCTGCTCTGAGTACTTCATTATCTGTTAGTAAAAAAGCACAGTTGTGTCCCTAGTTATCACCTACGCCTCCAGTGCTTCCGGAAAAAGGAATAAAAGCTACCAATCAGTCAGGCAGCTGAACTGTAATATCTCTTTAATTCTGAACAATTGCTCAGTCATAGCACATCAGCGCAGCAGCTGCCAGACGCTAACACATATCAGTTTCTTTGTAAGTAACAATACAATCACTTACCAGATACTGTGTTCTGTTTATATATGCTGTGCTTAAAAGAACTAGTTTTTATTTTTATTTGCATTAACTGCTCAAAAGACTTTCCTCAAATGCACATTTTTTAAACCCAAAGTTGATCTTAATGGCTGCCATTTTTCAGATAGTAGAAAGGACTCTCAAGGCACAGGTAATATACACTCACCGGCCACTTTATTAGGTACACCTGTCCAACTGCTCGTTAACACTTAATTTCTAATCAGCCAATCACATGGCGGCAACTTAGTGCATTTAGGCATGTAGACATGGTCAAGACAATCTCCTGCAGTTCAAACCGAGCATCAGTATGGGGAAGAAAGGTGATTTGAGTGACTTTGAACGTGGCATGGTTGTTGGTGCCAGAAGGGCTGGTCTGAGTATTTCAGAAACTGCTGATCTACTGGGATTTTCACGCACAACCATCTCTAGGGTTTACAGAGAATGGTCCGAAAAAGAAAAAATATCCAGTGAGCGGCAGTTCTGTGGGCGGAAATGCCTTGTTGATGCCAGAGGTCAGAGGAGAATGGCCAGACTGGTTCGAGCTGATAGAAAGGCAACAGTGACTCAAATAACCACCCGTTACAACCAAGGTAGGCAGAAGAGCATCTCTGAACGCACAGTACGTCGAACTTTGAGGCAGATGGGCTACAGCAGCAGAAGACCACGCCGGGTGCCACTCCTTTCAGCTAAGAACAGGAAACTGAGGCTACAATTTGCACAAGCTCATCGAAATTGGACAATAGAAGATTGGAAAAACGTTGCCTGGTCTGATGAGTCTCGATTTCTGCTGCGACATTCGGATGGAAGGGTCAGAATTTGGCGTCAACAACATGAAAGCATGGATCCATCCTGCCTTGTATCAACGGTTCAGGCTGGTGGTGGTGGTGTCATGGTGTGGGGAATATTTTCTTGGCACTCTTTGGGCCCCCTTGGCCCCTTGGTTGCAACGCCACAGCCTACCTGAGTATTGTTGCTGACCATGTCCATCCCTTTATGACCACAATGTACCCAACTTCTAATGGCTACTTTCAGCAGGATAATGCGCCATGTCATAAAGCTGGAATCATCTCAGACTGGTTTCTTGAACATGACAATGAGTTCACTGTACTCAAATGGCCTCCACAGTCACCAGATCTCAATCCAATAGAGCATCTTTGGGATGTGGTGGAACGGGAGATTCGCATCATGGATGTGCAGCCGACAAATCTGCGGCAACTGTGTGATGCCATCATGTTAATATGGACCAAGCTCTCTGAGGAATGCTTCCAGCACCTTGTTGAATCTATGCCACGAAGAATTGAGGCAGTTCTGAAGGCAAAAGGGGGTCCAACCCGTTACTAGCATGGTGTACCTAATAAAGTGGCCGGTGAGTGTAAGTTTGCTTAAAAAATCCTCGAGATCTGACCTGCACTAAGAAGCCGTACTCCAAAGTAGGGATGTTCTTGCAGTGGCCGCCCGCCTGGGATGAGAAAAACAATTCAATCAGCTGCCTCGTGGTAATCTGCGCTGGGGCCCTGGCCGCCGGGACAGCCACAGTCTGATGGGTCAAGTGAAGACAAAGCGTTATGGGAAAGAGCGTAGCAGCCATGTTACGGTTAGGGTAAGGAAAGGCTCGGGAGGGGACAGTGCAAGTGGTAAGTGACCAAGAAGAGGGTCAGAGTGGATCACAGTGCATAATAAAACAGTAGGGAGTAAAACAGTGGCTTAAGACCAGCAAATAAGAAGTTGGTTGAGGTGCAATTTTGAAATCATGATCACAGCACTGTGAGGTTCTTGATAAATAAATGTAGGATGGTGAAGTCTTATGAACAGAACTGTGCATGCAGGTTAGACACAGTCAGTAAGTGACAGTAGAACAGGCTACAAATCCAAAAGAAACGTCTGCGTTGTAATTTGTGCTGACTATCACTGACCTGGCTGTTGGGTGGATAGCTGAAGAGCTCCCCTTTTGGGTTCTTCATGGTGCATGAGATGGAGCGGTTCATCAGGCGGGTCACTCTCAGCTCAGGGACGCTGAGCTTTCCTTTCAATACAGTATCTTGAATCAGAGGAAAACTTGGAGACCTGCAGAAAAAGACAAGACCGGTGGATTACTTTATAAAAATGAATCTTTTTTGCAATTTGTAGGTAGTAGTTAAATCAAAAGACTGCAAGGTTTTCCAGCAAAGGCCATATCGGGTATAGGGGTGTCCTGATACAACTTACGATACCGATATTGTAGTTTTCAATATTGACCGATACTGATATTGATCCGATATTGGCACAAAATTGTGCATGACCATTTTTTCACACAGCTACAATGTCTTTTTCGGATTAAAACAAAAAATACTGCCACAAGGCCAACATCACTCCTACTCCTTGCTACTTCATTGGTACCTTTAGTACACACTGTTGTTGTGATTATGTGCACTCTGAATGCTGGATCACGGTGCTTTTTGGACTGCTTTTATCTGAGCGCTGATATCCTAAATTTTATATGCAGGCAGATATAATTCAATATTCATTTATTTGCTGTACTTTGCTGTTTATGTTAATTTAGCTGTAACTAGATCCTTGGATACTAGTGAGTAAATTTACCTTTCATTTATAATATCAAATGTTATTGAAATTCAAAATGAACTTGTTAGTTATTTTTCGCTTCCTCACTGAGATTACTGCAATCTGTTTGTGCAGCAGCGCATCTTTTGCTGTTGACTGCACATGCCCAAGTTACAGTGTTCACTTCCACTTTCTCTCTCTGTGTATTCTCAAAGTACATCCTCGACATGAGACTCCTGTCAACTTTTGAAGACGTCATGACAGTTTAGTAGTTAGCGAAGCTGACCTTCTTCAAAAGGGCCAAGATTCAGTCCCTGTGCACCGATAACTGTCAGAGCATCCCAGAGTAAGACAGAGGCCGAGACAACTACTCATTCCCACGGGGAAACTGGTTGAGTGTGTCAAATTCTGACTTCAAGTCAATCTGCAGCATGCTGCGTCTAAGGCATCTTTCTCTAGATAGTCTCCTTTTATACGGTCCATCGTTCACAGACACACCTTTGATAGTTGTTTTCTGTCTCTATCTTCACTTTTAGAAGGATGTTGACCAGACTGATAACACTTTACCCTGATCCATCAGAAATCTCTCTTTAGTTTGTTGTAAGTTTGCTCCTGATTCTTTTCAGCTCTTTTCTCGATATGTCATGCAGACTAAAAACCAGACATGCGATATAAAGTTATGGATAAGAAAAAAATCATAAAGTAGGAACCATTTCTAGAGACACATGTTCTGGTAAACATGTCATGAAAACGAGGCTCTAATTATCTGGGACCTCAGCATTTGTATATAACATAAAGTGAAGTTTTGGGGGTGTGCATTTCCCTCTGCAGCGATTCAACTCTCCATAACTGAATCTGTGAAATTATTCGCAACAAAGTGTGAATGTAAATGAGGTCTTCAGTCGTCATTTTAACTTAATTACAACTACAAATTGTAATTTTTATTGTTTATCAATAAATAATCTTCCCCAAACTTTGTTAGAAGATGCACCACAATCAGAGTTAATCAATAGAACTCTGGAAAATACAGCCAAGTTAAATTAGGATCAGATTGTAATAAAGACATCTAAATTAAAAGTTGTAACCATAATGCATCTCTACTACAGTAAAAAGTCAAAACATTTGAAATGCTTTACAAACACAAGTCACTAGGATTTACTTTGCATTGGAAATTCGGTTACAAGTATAAAATGTGCGGCAAGCTAGACAGGAACACTGTTGTTTCGATGCCTCGAAGGATAAACAAAAAGACAAAGAGACCTACTTAGGTATGGGGGAGAAGATGCTGAGCCCGGCACGGAACTTCTTGATGGTTCCTCCCGCTTTGAACCAGCTGTGCCTCTTCTCCTGCTGAGCCTTGAGGAACTCATTACTGAGGTGCTTCCACTGCTGTGAGGTGAACGTGCTCAGGATCCTGCCACAGAACAAAAAACAGAGCTGAACATGAAACCACCGTTGAGCCTATTCCTAATTATTTCTAATTATTCCCCAAAACAAGTGGAGTTTTTGTTGAATGCAAATTGCTTATGCATTTTTTTTCATCACTTTTAACAAATCTGAATCAATAATATGAAAACTGAAACACAGCATTGACTTTTACATAATGCAGAATTTCTTTGTGAAGTATTGCAGCCTATTAATCCTCCAAGGTCACGTAACTTACTTTTTGAGCTGCAGACCCAGGCTGAAACCTTCTTTGTTGGAGGGCTGGAACACTTCGACTGAGGGCTCTGAGTAAACATGACTTGCATTATTGCACTGTCAACAGACACACACAGGCCCCCCCCTCTCTATGCAGCACATATTGTACTCACCTCCCACGCTCAGTGAATGGCACAAATACCTAATGTCCCTCCCAGAAAACCAACATCCACACTGACATCTTTACTCACCAGGTCCATCGAGGTACTGAGAAAGAGAAAAGCGCAGTCTCAGAATAATGGGCTCTGTTCTGATAACTTTCCAAGCTGTCGCAACTTCCTCCTGAGTCAGACACACATACACACACACATACAAATGCACAGTTAGCATCTTCATTAGGTCCATTTTTCATCTCATCAATAAATTATGAGCACAAGATGCAATATAAATGATGTTTTGCTTTGCAAATGTCAGCTTAAAGGGGTGGTATTATGCTTTTCCACATTGATAAAAAAAACTGCAAAGTTACAATGTTTGGTGTCTTTACTAGATGTACGCAAAGTTTGAAATCACGAGGTAAACGAATGTCATAATAAGGACTGGGCAATAAACCAAAAATTTACCGATTCCAAAATTTATGACAATAACCGACTTCATTTCGCCCGTGTCAATATATTTGGTGTCAAAAAAATAAATATATAAAAGTTGGTTTTGGGTGTGTGTAGGTAGGCTATAGTCTCATGTCCCTTTACGACGCTCTACCCCATCCAGTCCATAACAAAGAGGGGAAGACAGGTGAGGAGATGGAGGTCAGTTAAAAAGTTGTAGCAGCTGCTGAAGTAGAAAAAGTTTATGTGGGAGGGGGTGAGCAGCTTGTGCAGTAGTTATCGTCCATTTATCATTATCGAGATGAACTGCTCAATATATATCATGATATTGATTTGAGGCCATATCGCTCAGCCTTAGTTGTAATAATATAACTGCTAAATAAACTGCTAAAAATGGGACCTTGCAAGAAAACGCGCGACTCGCTAAAATGCTTGTGTCATAGCATTCGGCTCTCCTTACAAGTTCATCTGTGCTTCCTCTAAAAGCACATGAGGTGACACCTACAATGGAGAGGGGTAACTCTGCTCTACTGCTCTACTGATTGACCACGATCGAGGGGTGGGGTCAAAACATTGAGCTCTGAGAGGTAGCCAAGTGTTTCAGACTGAAGCTGAAATTATGTTATTTTAATACACCAGAGTGAGAAAAATTTTAGGCTTTTGTAATCGGAAAATCATGTAAAGCTATTAAAGATGTATCAGAAAGGAAATATAGAGTCCGAAAAAAGCATGATTACCCCTCTTTAGGAAAGGTAATAGGAAAAACACAGATGGCCTGTGCAGTGAGTGAAAATGCTGACTCACATCTAAGAAACTGATGTTGATATGAAGATCAATGTCCACATCATCAATGGTTCCATACTCCCTGTTGAGAAAAAAACAGGTATGGTTGATATTTATCAAGAAATGGGATGCACAACAGTTTTTTCAGATTTTCCCAGATATACAGATTTTAAATTCATGATCAATTCCTTGAACCATGCACAGCATATGAACTGCAGGCATACTAGATCATACCACTGCTTCTTTTTTCAGATTTTAAACTACTGAGCGTGTACATGTGAGCACTGTACCTAACAGAGACAGCACTGTCAGTATAGATGTCTTTTACTGCCTCGATATCTGCATCCAGTTGTGGGTGACGGTACAGATCAGCAGCACAGCTCCCCTGTAACAAGCAACACTGGACACAATTACAGTACAGAAAATGCTATAGAAAGGTCATCCTGGAATCATATTTTTGACACAATTATCACAGAAAATGTATTTATTCTAAAATAATGTTTGTTTTCTACAGTCAGGTGGATCAAATAAGCATTCCAACTACAGCCACTTATCCGTTACTCTTTAGCCAACAATTTCAACCAGTTAACTTTTACACTTCACCTTCAGCTATTACCTTAGCCAACTACCTATATGTAAAATTTAGCTGCTTCATTTATTTAACCATTTCTTTAAGCTATTTCAATAAGTTAGTAAGAACTTTCATCAATAAAAATGCAAGATTCATTTCATTGATTTATCAGTGACTTTTAGGTAGCAATTCAAACCAGTTAGCTTTAGCAATTAGTGTCGAGCAACTGTGTCAGCAACAATCGCGTATTGAGCAATTTTAGTCATTTATTTATTCAAATCAGATTCGATGTGAATCTGTTACCTTATACAGTCAACTACATTGCAAGCTTCCACCTCTGGCCAATTATCTATACCATTTACAGACTGCATTAACAACATCAACTATTTAACCCATTATTTTTACTATTTCCTAACATTTAGTTATTTATCCATTATTTTGAACAGCCTACTCGCCACAACCTACCCTCAACATTTAGTAGAATATTGACTTTTTTTTAAATATTACAGCTCAGATCATCATCTTTTACTCTTTCAGCTAAACTCCAAATCAGTTTTCTGTGCATGCACATCCTGCATTTACAGTTTACAGTGGAAGAGTATCTGATTTTGTGTAAGGCTGTTTCCTATATTCAGCCTCTCTTTACCCTGATCCGGTAGTGGACAAATTTTGCATTTGAAAATTATCTACCTGTGAGAGTCAGAGTGTCAAACTGTGTTGGGTAAAGCATTTGGTAGCCTCCATAAATTGTATTTCTGAGTATTAACATTAACAGCTGACCAAGGTCTGTCATGTCTAGACTGGCAATCAGACTTTGTTCTCCTCAGCTCTGAGTGCATTGAAAAGATCCCACACTTTCATCCTTATCTTCACTACGCTGCTTTCATGTTCTCTCACTGCACAGAAAAGAGCTTTAAGTCCCAGCCTGGATTTACATTTCAATCACAAGACTTGGAAGATGACACTAAAAGAGAATGACTAGCGGATTAATATCCTATATGGGTGTGAAGCATTGAACTTTAGGATCTGATATGATGGCAGCTGAATGAATAAGACAGTGTTGCCTTGAAATGATTCTTATGGTTGCAGAGGGTGAAAGCACTGCAGCATTTTGGTATCGATATCTCACTTGGGTTGTGCGTTACTGACATCACACAACGATTAAATATTTGGGAGGATTTGCAGTACATAATGATTAACATTATGTTGCTAATGTCCTTTGACATTAGCAGCACATTCTCATATATGGTGATCTTTAATATTCTGTGATCACAAAAGATGATCTGTGTGTGAGTAAAGCCTGGTAATGACAAAGCATTTTAAGGGAAAAACAGTAGTAAAATTTGGTGATTGTATGCACATAAAAATGATAAAAGTAAGAATGAAAAACTAGTCTAATATACTGCACTTTCAATGTGTGCTTTAATAAATGCAAAGTGAGTAATATACTTGATAATGTCTTTTTGCATATTGTCAAAATAACAATCAATATATGATTTAAGACGATATTTTTTGCACACCTCTATATCACCTTAAGTACTACAGGTTTTTAAAAGCTTGCAATTATAATTTTTTAGTAAATTTGATATTTGCTAATGAGCATTTTGCAAACATACTTTTTAAAGGTGCCCTGCACCTTGTAAATCAGTGAAAAGCCTCACATTTCAATCGAACTTGTAGCAGATAGGTTGAAATGGTTGATCAGTTTGCAGCCAGGCCTTAGGGGGGAAATATCAAGTCTGCTGGTCCATCTGTTCTTCACAATAATGGCAAAAAAATCTCTAAACAACTATTCCCTACACACTCATGGCATTTGTTCATAATAATCCTAATCCACAAAAGAAGGATTTCAAATGAGTTTGGTATTTATTGCATGGTTTTTCCCTAAAGTTTTTAAGCTGTTTCACTTCATAGATAACCAAAACGGAATTGGAATTATCCCCTGTGGGACTAATGAAGGAATATTTTATCTTAAATATTATCATTATGACTTTAATTGCCACGATTGGACAAATATGTATGAACATTATTATTATCATAGATGTCATTCTGATGATAAGATTTAATTGAATTAATATTACATTTCTTTTTTTATTTTTGTTAAATAATAAATATTGTTTGACCCCCCCCCCCCCAAGTTTTGCTCTAAATTAGTTACTGTTGGAACGGAAGTTTCTCATTGGTAACTTAGGTTGAAATTTGTTTTGTCACTAAGAAGTACATTATTTAGCTTAAAGCCTATACTCGGGGGTATAAGAAAACTACAATGAGGTGGCTTTTGTTGTGATTTAATGCCTCACAAATAAAAACTGATTGGACTGAAAAATACTTTCACAACTGTTACTTAATATGGTTAATATAGGAGGCTAACTGAGTAAAGGATATGTGCTATAGTCTTTTCTTGTAAACATACTGCAGAAGTAGAGCTTGTATGACAAGCGAACACATCCTGCCAAGAGTTCTTTTAAAGTATGCTTTAAGTGGTGTAATAATATATAAAGGTTTTTTTTTTTAAACTATTTTATGTGCTGCTGTTTCACAGTAAAATAGAAATATAACAACACTGGTTAGCATCAGCAGCAAACAGAATAACTACATCTTTACAAACACTAGATTAGGTAGATGTTCTGTAAAAGGGGCACTGTAAAAGCCTGTGCTCTACCTGGATGCCATACAGGAACTGCTCCGATTCATTTTCTCCATCCGACTCCTCATCTGTCCAACACTGGCCTTTGATGTCCTGTGGGCCCACACATTGTGAAAGGCCATTATAGTAGAGTGGAAAGAAAATGCAACCTCTTTCTATCATCCTTTCATCACACATCCTTCCTCACATCTCTCTATTTAGCCTCCCATTTGTGGGCTTCAAAACGCTGCTATATATAGCATCTCAAACAAAGATGAAGAGGAATGATTTGTTTCCAAAAGACAGGATACTCTCTGAATTCAGTCTACAGAAGAATGCCCCAGTGACTATTAAAGGGGATGAGTTATTAAAAATATCTCTTTCTTATAAAAATAACCATGTCTCCTGTCATGCCTAGCCAAGCCTGAAGCCCAGAGGTCCTATTGCATAAACTTCAACATGAACATTTAGTTAATAAAACACTGAAATATGTAGGAGGCCTGAAATTTTGAGTGTCAACAATGGTACATTTTTATAATTATACTAATTCAATATTTTCTCAAAGCAACTATGAAAACACAGTGTAATTCTTTGTTTTCTCACCATTGGGTCTGCTGTTCATAGGGCTCTCTCAGACAGGTTTAGGCCTTGGAGTACTGCCTACCATTGCAGCCTATTTCCAGGTGTAGGGCAGGAGAACAGAAAAGCAGAAAGTCTTGACCGACCAACCCTCTTTCTTGCTCTCTTTAGACCTGCCAAACCTTGGAGGAACAAAAAATTAAAAATCAGTTTAGGATGAAAAACACAGAACAAAGGGTACATTTCCAGCAATGCCATGCTTTGTAAATACTGCCCTCCTCCTTCTCTTTTCTTTAAATGGTCTGCACTTCACCTTGCCATGTATCCTAGCAACAGCCATCTCTGCCTCCTTTCAGAGTGGCATTAATCACTGAGGAGCGAGTGAGTGGGAGATATGTGCTGTACGTTCAGTACCCACGATGTTTCCATTTCTTTGTTTTGATTTGTTTTTTTTCAAGTACAACTTCTATAAATATTGACACGCCAAAGGTTGGCACACCTTTATAGACACAAAGCAAAAACAAAACACCAGCTGATATCACTGGATTGACAGGCCAACAATATTCATTTGCCAGGCACCAGAAAGCGTATCAAAATGGCAGGCTATTTTCATGATGTGAGGAGCGAATTGTGACTACTATTGTTAAATGACTTAATAGACATGTTTACAATATGTTATGAAATAAAAAAATAATTTACATTACAGTGTTTGTTGTGTGTGTTTACAGGAAGTATGTCAAACCTAAAATCAAAAAAGAAATCCCTGATCTTATTATGATGAGCTTTAGGAGCTGTGGTTCACCTTATTTGGCTCAGGCGTGTAAACAAAAAGCATGTTGTAGTCTCAGACTGCGGCATCATCTTAATATTTAATTTGTCTTTTTTCATATCAAAAATAATAAAATATAGACATTTATCAGGTCTGAATCCTGGGACAAACAAAGATTGCATTGCAGCATAGCTAAGCACTGCAGGTCGGACTACCTTCACAAAAGCATGAAGAGTAAAGGCTCCCATGCTAAATATAGGTCAATGTAATTTACCATCAATCAGACACAAAGTAGTATTTTTCTCTCTTTGCTGTCCAAACACTGGCTCATATCTACCACAGATGGGGCTCTTTTCTTCGTGTCTACACTAAATAGTCGAATAATCGATGTTTTCTCCTCTTAAATGTGTATGATGGTCGTTTTTGTGGTGGAGGTTGGCTGACATCTTGGCTGAAAAACATCTCCCAGACGTCAAGTGTGATCTGCTCGGTTTCACACGACTCATCATCTCATCTCCTCTCCTTCTCTTTATGTGCCTGCTACCCTGCTATGTCCTCAAACCTGCTAGCATGTACATCCTCGACCCCCTCCTCCTCCCCTCCCCATCATACCCATAGCTGTTGTCTCACATACCAATAGAGCCGCCGACAAACTAGCTCCCCTCCACCCTCCTCAATCCTAACCCCCTTCATCCAACACCGCCATTGCCGTCCCTTTTCCCTCCTTTTAATAATATTCAACACATACACAGATGCAGTCAAGCGGATTTTCCCCTCCCCCCAATGCTCTGCATCCTCACCCAATCCATCCCCACTTACCTCCACAGAGGATGGAGACTCGGATGCTGTCCTTGCCTCAGCTGCTCCCTCTCTTAAAGGGCACACCTGCCCTGCGCTCCGTCCGTCACTGTTTTCCGCTGAATTTATGGATAACAATAAGCCCATTAAAATGAGATTTCAAGGATTCAGAGCCGCAACCCTACAATTTTTCCTCCGTCCGTGTCTCACTGCTTGTATTATGTGTGTCTGCGAGCGGTCCCGCTGGTGTGTTAGTCTGTGTGTTTATCTATTGCAGATCTCTGCCCCTACTGCTGTCTTATATTTTGCCTGACAACACTGAGAGGTTTGCGCATGCTCAGAAGGGCCAGGCGAGCCAGTCATGTGACCTGCAGCTGACTGCACTGCTGCTAAGAAAAAGAGGAAAAAATGGAGGAAAATGGCTCTGCTATTCTGTGTATATGTCTGTCTGTGTGTGTGTAGTATGAGTCAGAGTAGTATTGAAAGTAATGTTTTATTGGGGGAGATTACTTTTAATATTTAAGCTTCTATTTGTCTTGTTCAGATTTAATTCAAAAGGAAAAATGGAAATCAAAACATTCTCTGGGCTACATTTTAAGTCAACCTGTCTTTGCCTATACATGGGCTCATCTCATTCACTGTTCAACTTATGTGAACTCAAGGTATCAGCAACATTATCAAAGATTAATATAACATGGCTGAAATATTCTGTCTCTTTGAAGCTTGCCTGGCAGGTGGGAAGAGTTTTAAAATATTCTACTCATGTAAAAGTATCCCACAGTGACTTTGATAACACTTTATAAGGAAGAAGGAAAACTACCAACTTAGTCTGTATTTATTGTATATATCTAGTATTTTTTTGTCTGCATTGTACATACTTCTTATATTTCATTTTATTTTGTATTTTTTGCTGCTGTAACATGAGAATTTCCCAGTTTGGGATCAATAAAGTCTATCTATCTATCTATCTATCTATCTATCTATCTATCTATCTATCTATCTATCTATCTATCTATCTATCTATCTATCTATGTATCTACCAGTTTATTATTCTCTACAATTGATGGTAAAAGATATCTCATGTGACATTTACTTTAAGTAATGAGAACATTTTTTTAAAAGATTGCAGAAGAAATTGTGCAAAAGATATCTTTTTTAAGTTAATTGTTTGAATATAACCAACAGGGGGCCATGAATGCTGGGGGGATTTTGTTGACACAACACCTATTCAGGTCATAGTTATTCAATATTTTTGTTGTATCTCTTTTCAGCATGACGCATCATGTCGTGGCCTCGGGGGACAGACCAGGTGATTGACTGCAGGTACTTTTTTCAGAGATGTATTTCATTTTTAAAAGATACCAGAATGATGTTTTGCCTGAAATCACGAGAGGTGACCAGATGCAGCGCAAGATGGCGGACCCAAAGATAGAAAACCACATTTACAAAACGCAATAAGTTTCCGCATTACCTCCGACCCAAAACAATTACTTCCGGTGGAAAGGCTTTCTCGTTGGCGGACTTCCGGCGCCGAAATACTTCAGGTAGTCGGATTTAGTCGCCGGATCCTTTTTTTTTTGCTCCGTTCATTCCATAAGAATCGAATTAAATTTATTATTGAGCTAAAAATCAAAATAAAACGTTTATGTATTAATTATGACAACTGTTTTGTTCTGATTTAATTCTGAAGTTTACAGTAATATGTATATATAGCCTGATGTCCTCATATTCTGATAATTTGTCAGAATAGGTAAATGTATGTAGAAGTTATCATCTTACTCAAATTCTTTTGTAAGAGTTTGCTACAAGTATGGACTGTTTTAACCTCTCGTTACACATCATATAACAGTGTTTTCTAACTTTTCTCTCCAATAGCTTTATTACACAGCACATCAATGTTTCTTAACTTCTCTGTGACCTTGTTTCTCCACTCCTATTAGGACCTCGTTTAATGTCAACAATGTTGCCCTGACCCTCACATATTTTCTGTTGTTCATAATTATGTCTTATGAGAGTGCTTATGTTGCTGCACAAATTTACTCCCCCCATCCTTTAGTAATATTGTGTAACCAGGGACATAATTTATGAAATGGTGTGCTTCCTGGTGAACCTCTTCAGGATTGCTTGACTGTGCAAAATCCAAGTATACAATAGTTGTAGAGACACAAGTCACATGATCTCTTTAAGGTTCAGAAGAGCCATATAGCAAAAACAATTGAATAGCGATATCATTACAGACTGTGTAAAGAAATGGGAAATTGTCATACAACTGCTTTGAAGATTTCTTTAATTTTTTCCAAACAAAATTGTGAACAGTAAAAGAATATATATATATATACAAAATTCAGCACTGCCGTCGGTGTGGTGGGGGGCTTAAAACACGTTGCCACAGGCCATCATCAGCTCTGCTCTGCTCTGACCGGGTGATGCCATGCTCCTTCAGTGCTTTGATCAAATGCTGAAAAACAGTCAAATAATGTGAACAATTGAAGTTATGCAGTATGGGTTAATTGTTGTTCTTGAGCTTTCCAAATGAATAAGAACAACCTCTTAACAATATCATCAATTTTCAAAGCAAGCTATATAGTTTGATCTACTCACCTCTGGGAGCATGACGTCAAAAACGAAATCAAGCAGATGAATCACAGAAAGTAAACACCTTTCAAATGTAACACCCCTGAGAGTAAAAATACTCATGATGGATGGCATTTTTACTTACGCGCTGCTCACTCCAACTTAGTGTCCTTATCTTGAGATGCTGCTTTAGTCGGAGTGAGGTGGCGGGATTCCACCAAAGGAACATTCTGTTGGAGCGGATCTTTCCAGACAGGAGATCATCATGTAATGTCTGAAACCAAAGAGCAAGAGACAAAAATGTAATCATCTGAAAAAGAAACGGTGGCTTTAACAACTGATAGTGCATTCAAAAGCAACCTTGATCTGTGTCTTAGAAAAGACAGCATGAATTCCTCAACTGTCAACAGCATCCTTGATCCTGCAGAGAAATAAGAAAAGAGCAAGCCCTCATTTTTTCATCCTTTGAGCCTCGTATTTTTGACTGATACTATGTTTCCTTGATAAATTATGTTATACCGAGGATGCTCAATGGAGTCCTCGCACCCGCAGTCAAACGGCTCCATTTCAATCCCAGCACAATCCTGATGCAGCCAGCCCCTGCACGTCTTGCACTGGACCCATTTTATGACGTTTACCTCAGGGTAAAGCAATCTGATCAAATGAGAGACAAACATAATATTAAACAAACACGCTGTCCAATTGATTATACCTCTGCAGCACATTTGAATGTATAAATAATTTTCCTGCATGATTCGTGCATTTAAACTATATGTAAAAGTGGTCACTTCATGGAAAATCACTGAATAGGCCCCGATAATTGCATTTATTAAATTGAGTCTGCAACACACCTCTCTCCTGTGTTGTTCGATGTCTGGTAGACACAGAATTGCATTGAATCTGCCATGCACATTCTTTGGACATCCGATACCGTCTGCGTCATGGTTTCCTTGACAAGGCAATTTGAAAAGTAACATCAATTACCAAATACATCGAGACAATGTTGATCCATACAACTGTGTGCATTTTGAAGGACTCCCACTGAGATAATACTGTTTTTACAAGGCAATTTTCTAACCTCTATGTCCTGCTGCTCTGCCTTCCTCTTTAGACTGAAGACCGGAGTATGCTTTCCAGCAATGAGCTCTTGACATTCTTTGGTCCAGTGGGCGAAGATTTTCCCACAACTGTAATGACAATATGTCTTTAAGTACAATATATTGATTGTCTTCCAGTTAATTAGGACATCTAGTTTACTTAAACTGTCTACCTGTTCAAAGAATTGTTCTCCAGGAGCAACAGGCACCACCATCGCCGCCAAACAGGCATGTCATGCTGAAATTGTTGTTTGTATTTCATTTTAGTGCACAATACAAAATACAATCTTGAGGATGACACTGCGTGTTGAAAAGTACTTACAACTGAGTAGTCAAACTGTGACTCCATAACGATGTACATGGCAGACTTAAAAAAAAAAATTATGAGACAACATGTGAGATAACTTTAAAAAAGTCCATGTTGGAAAGTTATTCTAGATACAATATTTGTGCATTACAGCTCGTTATGACCTACCATCAACATGAATATGCCACAGTCTGAGCCGAAGTCCTGGCTGGGGAAGCCCTGATATAACAAAAGCAAACGTTAATCATCTTGTCACATACACTTTGTAGGAGCCAGATTGGGGTTTTGCAGTTTATTGTTATGTATTTTTTGTGCCAGCAGATGGTGCTATTGTGCCCGTCTATTTAATGGGTGGGTTGATTAGGAGAGGTGCGCACATAAAATGATGAATGAGTAAATAAATCAAAACAACAGAAAATGTGTGTGACATGTGACATTATTCCACCTGCGGGCACGCATCAACTCAAGCAAAAAGGTGTTCGCCACAAGTAACAGCATTGGAAAGCTGTTATACACTTTTCAACTGTAATATAAAGCATGCACAAATACCTCCAAATCTCTGCCCGTTTTCTCAGTCCATTGCCCAGGACATATCTTCTGCGCAATGTTCCTGTTAATTTGAGAGCGTCACTTAGATTTCCCATGATGGAAACAATGGAATGCAGGGTTAGGGTTAGTTTGAGTGGTCGGAGGTGAGATTGAATGAATGCGGACGGCTTGCTTCTTTTCAAACTTCCTGAGAGTTCTTCTTCTTATGTAAATTTTGCCGTCAGAAAGTGTAGGTGCATACCGCCACCTACTGTTCTGGCATCGCAAAGCAGAAGTTCAAAGTTCATGTTTTGGGTCCGCCAATCGGAGGTAATGCGGAAACTTATTGCGTTTTGTAAATGTGGTTTTTTATCTTTGGGTCCGCCATCTTGGCGCTGCATCTGGGTACTCTTGGAAATCACTGCTCTCACATGCATTATATCACTTTGTCCATAGGGGGTGCCAAAATGGAGAGTTGCTCACAGCAGGTTTAACTTGGGTGTTCCTTGAGATTTGAGCATGTATGAGTATGAGCATGTGTGTTTTTGCCCTTATATGTAGCTAATGTATACATATATATTTGCTTTTGTTCTTTTTTATCACTCTATAATGAATGCAATGTAAAATGTAGAAGTACAATACTGCCCACAATAAAAAACATAAAATTCAAACCTCTTAATTTTGAAACTACTCAAAAAAGTGCAAGTGAAAAGCTACTCAATGGCAGTAACTTGAGTATATATGATTAGTCACTCCCCCATCTCCGTTGAATGTATTTGTGAGACAATGGCCATTAAGCTTTTGAGCTTGTCAGTCTCTGTCAGAATTAGCTCCAGAGAATGCATCTATTTAAAAACAGACCCTAAGAGTGAACGGATGAGGAAACAAGTGACAAGGCAAACTGACAGCTTAGTGTGTGGTTACAGTCAGCAGATTGAATTAGGATTTCATTTATGTAGTTGCCCAAGAACAAAAAGAAATCTCCTTTAAGATACATTTAAGATACAAAAATCTTTCAAAGAAAGCAACTGTGAGTTAAAACTTTTTTTTTTTCAAATTACAGCAGGGCCTTAAAAACTAGAGTACCCATACTTTTACTGAAAGAAACAATTAGTCCACTTGGCTGAGTAAAAAGCTATATAAATGTTATTGGACTAGCTGAGAGCCCATCCAACCTCATTTAACCATACCATTGTTGTATAATTATGTTATTTAATATCTTTAGTGTCTTTTTTGGCAATGTAATGGTAACACTCAGAGTGCAAACAAGGTGTTTTTGAATGTGATGTACCCACATACAGACCCATCACAATTATACATTCAGAAGCATTACAGCCTCCTGTCAACTCATCTCTGAGATTTATCTAAACATATTTTCTCAGTTTCTTCTGTACCTTAAGGCCTTCACAGTAATTCTGACTGACAGCCTGGGGCTTGACCAGCCAACAGGATGGCTGAACAGTAGATCAGTCTCTCACCTGGATAGGTATCCCATTAGCTTAAGGTATTGGAGTGTAGTGATCCAGGCAGAGGCTGCCAGTAACCAGAGAGACAGCAGCATGGGAAGTGGAGGCAGCAGTGTCAAGTCCAAAACAGCTGTTAACAGGTGAGAGCTGAAAGGGACAAAAAGGAAGGAGACGTGGATTAGTAAGTGCACCTTTAAAGTAGGTCACAGGTAATCCAGGAAGATTGAGATTAGCATCAGTGTCTTCTGTATCTGTAAATTAAATTATGCTTAGTGGAGAATCTTTGTCAGGCTGTCGTATCTCATCAGCTTGGTTGTTTAGACTTAAATGTCACGGTGTTCAGTGATGTGTTTGGCAGTTGTGTTTGTATAACTTTTCCATGATAGAGCTGTTTATCACTAAAGTATTAATCATCATGGAGAACACCGTGACACAGCTGCCATGTGTTTGCACATCAAGTAACATGATGTCTGATTTTAGAAATAACTCAGATGTTGAGGAAGTTGTCCAACAAAGGAATCTCTGTTCCACAAGCTTTATCATACATTGTGTTGAGAACTTGAGCAATCCTGTACTCTTGAAATCAAAAGACTAGATAGTGAAGCACTGTTGGTCGATATAGGCATACATTTATACTATGCATTCTGTAAAATTGTACCGAGGCTATAGTAGAACTGATACAGATTTTCTGTTCTGCTTAGTGTAATTAGACTCTCAAAAAAATAAATTGAATTAGAAAAGCATTTAGAGCTAAATCCAACAGCCTATTAATAGAGATAAACCACAAACTTTCTCAATGGATCTACTCAATGACAACACAAACTTGAATGTACCTCAATGAACAGCATCCAACTAAAAGCATTAGGTATGTTATTATTATTTTTCACCACTAGATGGCGATATTGACCCAGATTCTGTACAACAGAAAGGTTGTGGTGCCTGAGTCATCATTCAAACCTCAATGTGTCTAGGGCATTAAATAGTATTGTGTCTTACTATTCCAACAGCCTTAACAAATCAAACATATTGTAATAAAGATAATTTGATGGCTTCAAGGACAGTTCCCGGACAGTGCAACAAGTGTACTGATGCCTCCAGTGATCCACAAACACGGACGAAGATCTATAAGTCGACTTGATAGTGGATCCAAAACACACGACTGTAGGAAAGCTCTGATTTGAAAGGAATTAGTATTGTACGTGTGAGTACCCACGGCATCTATGAGGAAACTACTCAACCACCACGCCATCCACGGTCACATGTCAGCCTTCATGCTAAACTGATGCATTCTCGCGCCCTGATTGGTTCCCTAACTTTACCAAGCGCTTCCTCGACGCTTTGTGTATCCCTCCGCGCCGTTTTCAGTTTTTGGTGTTTTTTGACATATCAAAGCCGTAAGACTGTAATAAAGTAGGTGTTTTGAGAAGCTTGTGTTGAGTGCAGGTGGTTCAAAGTTGTTTAGGTTATGCAGTTTTCTTCACTTTAATTTTTCTGCACGGATGAATATCTGTGAGCATCCTCAGGAAGTAGTTCCGCAGAGTGAGGGACTATCGAGATCACCTTGAGCTGAGCTCACTGTAACGGCAGTTACATCGGTTCAGAGTCAGACACTTCCTCACACAGACCAGGTGGGTACTTCTTACACGGGTTTGTAATGGTTTATAGATTTGTTGGCGAGTTCACACTTTCACCTGCTCCCGTCTAAACTCTTTTGCTTTGCATTGTCACTGTGACTTTATCCTGCGAGTGGGTAAGTAAGGGTTCAGAGTAAGTGACTCGTGGCTTGTTTTCTCTTACACTTTAACGTCTTTTTATAATTTTAATAGTTTATGAATACAGCCGAAGCACTAATGCGTGTCTGATATGCAAGGATAAGCCATTTTCTGCTCTGTTGTGTAATGTGTCCATCAGCGATGTGATATCAAAATGCAGTTCATGGAAAGATTATCTAGTTCTCAATGTGCATTTGCCGTTCAGTGTTTTCAAACTTTTGTCCTAAATTGAAGAATATACAGCTCTTATGTCTCAAATTGTGGAAGTAAACGTGATGTATTGAGTACAGATCGTAGAAAAATCGCTTCCTGTTGCCTCCTGATGTGGGTGTGGCCGCTTGGCTTCCTCGGCCTCCTATTGGTCATTTCCTGTGATGCTCCTAGATCAGGAAAATGTGACGCAGGATGAGAACGTGACCTCTGGCGCATCGTCGTTGAGAACATAGAGATGAAATACGATTATATATATACAAATGCATAAACATTACCCTGCTACAACTCACAATTGTATATAAATGTCGAGTGTTAATGTTGTATTCTGCTGCAAGTCAGAGCCGATGTATAATTCATTACGTCGCCGTTTAATACCTCTATTCGCCTTGCTGACTGTCTTTAGAGACACTTGACATCAATCTAAGCTTCTCTGTCCTCTGTTATTCAAAAAGAAATACATAAAATGAGGTTAAAATGCGTCCCTGCCTAAGCAGCTCACTGCAGTATAGCTTACTGCAGTGTTGCCATAAATAAGATGCCTTGTTGACAGTAGATACAGAGCATTTACTCATGCTGTTTAGGTTGAGTATTTAAATACTAGTTATGGCCTGAAATTCACTATCTGACAGTCTGATTATTAGGTACTTTATTGAAATGCCATGCAGAGTTTTTCAGCTTGTTCCTATAACAAGAGAAAAAAAAGATGATTTTACCCAGGCAAGTTACATCTCATAATATGTGACATTCTTATTGACATGGTCCACCTGCAGTAATATGGAGTGTGAGGCATAGCCTGCATATGCTTTGTTATTCTAGGCGGAGTAGCTGTTTTGTGTGTAACAAAAATCTGGATTTACTGTCATTGCTATGTCCTTCTTGGCTGAAGGCCTGGTGGCAAAATGGAGTCGTTCTCCCACTGGACTTCTCAGGTTATAGTGTTAAGTAACAAGGAGATACATGAAGTGATGAGCGAAAAAAGGACAAACTGTTCAGTATATTCTTGTAGCTTTGATACAGGCTTTGACCAGGAGAAGAAAACTTTGGGGAGTTGGTATGGATTTTCCCTCTTTTTCTTTTGTCAGTATCACAAGTAATCCCTTTATCTCAGTGAAATCCCTAAATAATGGTCAATTTTAATGTCTAATGGATCCCAAACTCCTGTATGAACTGCTGGTGCAAAAACTCAATATTTATTGTGTATAGTTAGCCACTGATTTTTTATGTTTATGCGCATTTTGGCAAGTAACCACCCAATCTCTGACCCTATGATGTGGTTAAGGTTTTGAACTGCATTTCAGCTGCTGGTCAGTGCAGCAGATAAGGCCTTTATGCAGCTGGCTCTGATCCCATGCTCTCCAACCCCACAATATCTGCATGTCTGCTGACTAATGCTACATGGAGCCATGAGGTGGAACACTACCAAATATGGGTATTCCTTTGCCACTGAAGATACTGACTGCACACTCATCTAGTATGTGTGATGATAATTAAACATGCTCCCAAATAGCGTGATTATTTTTAACTTATTAGCATGATTAAATATGCTAATAATTCTGCATCAATCATCATCTGAAGCCTATGCAGCTACAGTTTATTTTGGAGTTTACAGGCCTGCATAGTATGAGTGCCACCGTACATTTCTAACGGTATTATATTTCTACAAACAGACTCAGCATGCTGTGAGTTATATTTAGCAAGGACTCCATTTTTAACCCTCGGTGGTTGTATAACCCAGGCTGTTGGTAGTATCATTCATGTTGCAGCATTGTGCTGTGTTGCAGTGGAAGTCTGATGTATGCCTATTGCATCGGGTCATGGCGTTTGATTGGTCACAGCAGACGCTCTCTATGTCCTTTATCCTCATTGAAGGGATTTACTCATGAGCTCCTGGAGGTGTCCTACGTATGCACGCATGCTGCAGCTGTCAGTTCTGCCTGGGCTGCAGTTGCAGGGAGAATTTTGCTTATTGGTAGAAGAAGCTACAGCACTCTGGGGTTGTATTGGAGGACTCTGGCAATAAGGAGCTTGTTTGTCCCTATGAAGAAGAGGAGGATCTGCTTGGGGTATGTAGTGTAATCTGTGAATGTTGCCTCGGTGAAGTGGGTGTGACTGATAGCAACTGGCTACTCGGTGTCTCGGTGAGCAATCTGGGATTAGCCTAGTGTGGCGTCACATTCATAGTAGATGGTGGTGAATGTCATGTCACCCTGATAGCAGTGCTGCTATGACTGCTTATGATTGGACAGGCGTGTTCACAGATAAGTGATAACCCTGCTTCTAAGAGAGGCAGGAGGAATGGATAGTGATAGTATGTCACAAGGAGATAGTGTATTACTAAGGTGCAAGTAGTGAGAAAGGATTTGAGGGGATTATTAGCAGCCGACTCTAAAGTTAACCCTGCATTTGTGTCAGGGTCACTGTGGCTGTTGTTCTTGTGGTGGCTAGCCTGAGGTCAGACACGGTAGCCACGTCTGCCAGCCAGCCATTACAGTCGGTGATGTAATTTGGTTTTACCAGGAGTTGGCAAACTGAGCAGACAGATCATGACTTTGCTGCTCTTGGAAAGGGATAGTCGGAGCTGCTAATTTTCAGAAGTTCTGTGAGGAGGACATGTTGCCTAAGCCAGTTATAGTCCCAAAATAAGACGTTACCCGAGAAGTTTTGGAGTATTTCAGGTTGAGCTTCCTGATAATGATATTCTCTTATTAAGATTTGATGCCACCATGTCAGTTACACAGAGACACTCAGCAAATTTGATGTGTGTATGTTTAAAAACTTTGATCTGTGCAAACACAGGCTCAACATAGCAGAATACATACACCGTCAAGTGGAAAAGGGTGGAGACACTGAGTATCAAACATGATGCTCAAGCAATCAAGATGCAGTAAATATATACATTTGACTATTCTGTAGCATTGGGTTATAAAGCTATCCTATTTATCATCAGGTAGAAGCTTTGGATTAATGTCAAGCATAGTTCATTTAAAATAGAAAAGATTTGTTGTGAGCAAACCACAGAAGAAGAAATAGGATAAGTGCAATTATCAGAAAACCCAGCACATGACTGTAACATCACAGTCTCTTTTCTCCCCTCTGCAGTCTTTCCCCATGGTTCAGCCCACTCTAATCCCACCTCTGTGCGGTTGTGTGTGTGCTGCAGTGCTGGGATGTGACTGTGCTCACGTACAGCACTGGTCTGGCTCTGGTGTGCCCCATTGACTCGGATGTTACATCATCAGTCAGTGGCACTGTCGAATGAGTGTGTTGGTTTAGAGGCTCAGCCTGGAATCCCCCACCATGATGCATTCATAGCGAGGATGTGATGACCACTAGTGATACTGGTGAATGCAACAGTTCCACCACATTTTCAGTCATCAAAAATTTGCCACTCCTTGTGCACACAATCACAGTCTTTGCAGTCCGTTGTGCTGCCAGCTACTTTATAAAATACAAGTCCATCCTCTGAATCATGAATGGCAGTCTTGGGTTCTCCCTTTAAATGATATATATTTATTTTTTGTCTTGCTTCAACTATGAAGCAACTAGTGAGAGTGTCCTTTGTTAAAGCACACTATGAATAATTTACACAAAAGGAACTTGAACCCTTCTCTGGCTGCCTTTCACTTTGGCTGAAATTTGCAGAATCTTATTATATTCAGGTGTATAGTGCAGTTAACATGTGATTTTTTATGATCTCCGGATCTATCCTAGGTAACTTCTTTTATTTTATTGGTGTGTTGTTTTGCTCTAACATTTTATTTTATTTTTTTGTCACAATATTGTTTTGTTGTTCCCTTTTCTAAAACCTCTTCCTTATTTTGCAGTCGTAGTAGCACAGAAGTAGAACAGTAAACAATATTAAGCTTTTTAGAGATAGACTCACAATTTGCACAATTTCCTTTTATTATGTGCACATGCACAATTGGTGTTTTGCAATATGAAATAAAACAAAGTTTGGAAGCTGAGTTTTTATTTGAAAGTCTTCTGACAAGCGACAGAAACACCTTCACCTTTATAATAAACAAGATACTTCTCAGTGTTAAGATAAGATACTCCTTTATGAGTCCCACAAGGAGATATTCCCAAGTTCCCAATTCTGCATTGACCTGCTTATTTAGGTGTAAAAATGCAACTAATTTCTGACCCGGTCATTGACTTAGACCCTGTGTTAATTGCACTGACTTCTACTACTGACTGTGTGACCAGATTTTCTTTTCAAGTGAGCATTTTAGCCTCAGTCAGCTGTGCTATAGTTATGTAACCACAGCAGCTACACATTCCTCATCAGCAGAGAGCAGCACCACTAAACCCTGCTAAAATACACTCAGCCTGTCGACCCTGATGTGTTCAAACATGTCTGTGTGTGTTTGAGTTATTAAAGTGTTTTTCATAGAAATGGGTTGGATAGGTTAAAGGAGGTAAGAGAAGGTGTCTCAGGCAGGGCACACCCCCCTGCACACTGTGCGCACATGACAGTATTGAGCCATTAAGAATTGCACAGGGTTTTCTGTAATATCCCCTCAGTGCTGCCCTACACTTTATATGTTTGTCATTTTCTGAATAGAAAGTCGTGATCAAATCTTGGTAATTCCAGCCTCTGTGATGAACTACACGATGGTGCCGTTGCCATGGGTGACTCAGGGAGGAGTGGGTGGGGGGTACAGAATGTACTATGTGGTGTAGAATCTCAGTATGCCATACTGCTCTGCTCTAAGTGTGGAGTGTGGAGGAATTGCAGCTCACTGATCAACCTTGATATGTTCCTAAGCGTTGAAATAAATATTAATAAAAGTAAACACATTGAAGGAACCTGACATAGTGGTAGTGTAAGCTGACATGTATGTACATTTATCCAGTTTATGAGCTTTCAGTTTTGTATCTTGAGGGCTAAACAGCTTATTGAAAGACGAAATAGCTCATAGTGACTCGAGGTAAGAACTGTTAATCATAAGCCTTAATCGTTTTTGCCCTTTGTCAAAGCAGCTGAAATGAGTCAAAAATACATGTGCTATCTATCGATAGGTTTAATTTATAAGATGTTCGTTTGGTTTTGGTCAACTGTTAAAAATGTCTGCCACCACTCTACTAACTCTGTCTTTTATTGTCTTTTCCTGCAGGACTTCTCCAGTTGCACCAGTGAACACCATGCCTCATCCAAAGATGCCTGACATGGGCTCTGCCTTCATCCAAACACAGCAGCTCAACGCTGCCATGGCTGATACATTCCTGGAACACATGTGCCTCCTGGACATCGACTCGGAGCCCACCACTGCACGAAACACTGGCATCATCTGCACCATTGGTGGGTGAACACTAAGTGTCTGTCTTTTATTTGCTGAGCTGGTATGGTTCATGTTAGATACCTGCACAGTTGTGGGTGAATAATCGTAATTTTATACTTGATGTCAATTCTGAGCTCAAATTTGTTTGTTGCCTCAAATTTTCATCACTTCCTTGCCTTGCCTCATTAACACAATTACTTCACAGACTCGAATACTTTAAATTACTGATAAATTACTGATAATCAAAATGAGAGATTCTCTACTAAAATTGATGTTTCTTTTAAATGTCGGTCAATCTGAGCTGACATTTAACCAAACCGACTAAAATAGGAAAACAATCATTATGAATGTTCTTCTTTGATTCATTTTACCATAAAATTCTGGCTAATTTTAAAAGTGATGTCTCGATTCCCTTCCTGCCTGCAGGGCCGGCCTCCCGCGCCGTGGATACACTGAAGGAGATGATCAAGTCTGGAATGAACATCGCTCGCTTGAACTTCTCCCACGGCACACATGAGGTGGGTCTTTGGCAACAATGCAGTTTACTGTGTAAACGAGTTGTAGAAATACAGCTAACTGGTCACATTATAACAAGTCACGTCTAAACTTTGCAGCAATCATGGTCCTGTGCTTTATCACAGGATGCTCAGGGTGGGTAATATTGACCTTTCTTACTGTGTTTACTCTGTCTTGCTTAAGCTTTTCTTGCAGTGTGGTGAACTCCCTGCACAAAATAACAATGTTGGTTAACATATAGTGAACAGGTATGAAATGCATTATGAACTCCAATCAGTTGATACATTTACGCAAGATAAGGCTAGTTTCCGTGAATGGACAAAATGGTAAGGCTAATTTACTCAAGATTACAGTTTGGGTTCACTTATCAAGTTCTTGTCATAAGATGTGCAACCTGAATAAGTATTTATATTTTTGGGCATCAATGAGGACAGATAAGACCTTGTGATCAAAAGAATCTGTGCTCAATTTTGTGTTCGTTAAAAGAAGAGGAATGTAGTATATTTTAGAACAAAAGTCCATATTTTTACCTATAAAGGCAAAGAAACTTACTTCGAATAATCTTGTCACCTCAAAATCGGGTCCACATACTGATCCAAACATTTCTAAGGTTGAGAGTCCAGTGGAGAGAGAAAGAGACTGGCTGGCCGCCACTTTCTTGTAATCATTCAGCCGGTGCAGCTGAGGCTGTGTTTCTTTTTCTAACCTGACTCTGTCCTTCAGACTCACACAGGGACAAATTAAAGATGCTCATCCTATTTCGCAACCGATTATCTGCTCCAAATAGATAATTATCCACACAAGAGAAGTGCAGCTCTTTGATTTGATCAAAAGTTTTCAGTAGTGATTGCTTGGTGTGCTGATGATTTTCTGCAGGATGCTCTCAAAATGTTTCTTTTTATCCACAGTAAAAGATTTGGAGTAGAACTGAAAAGTTGTCTATTCCCCAGCATATTGGAAAATTTGTCCAGGTTGATAAAAAGAATTAAAATAGCAGGGATATACTCAGAATACCCTGTGTAGTCTAGTAACACTTGACAGCATCTATGGTATGAGTGGTTTCTTAGGATGAGTCAGCAAGAGTAGAGGGGGAAAAAAAATCAGAGCTCTGTTTGTCAGGTACCATAAAACAGTCATACCTACCATCCAGCCCTTCCTGTCTACACCCAGACTCTTAAATGAGTGTTCAGAAAGCAACAGTAAGGTCGAGTAACCATGGTGAGATGTGGAAAGTTGAAGTCACAGTGAAAGAAACGTTTGACTAACCAAACTGAAAACAGACCTCATTTAGCATAAAGTGGAATTTCCCCTCAAATCTAGGAGTTTTACCTGGTTATGAAACTGATAGAAACTGAAACCACTTTATGGCTACCCAGATCAAAGATTGGCAATGTCTTTATTGTAATTTTTATGTGCCTGTAATTGCTGCAAGGGAGTAGGTGTTACACACAGGGACTGAAAGCATGCAGATGAAAAGAAAGCAGGATGTGACAGGGTGAAATGTGGGGAGACAGAGAGAGAGGGGGGAGGACATGCAGCACATGGCTGGATGAGACTTTTTTGTGAGAAAATACAACCTAACAAGGAACAGCAAAGCTATAACATGTACACGTGTGCACACAAGGGGTGTGATATTCAACTCTAACTGGGGGTTTCTCACAGTATCTGTGTCAATTAATCAATTGTAAATTGATGGACCCTGACCCACATGTACTCTATGTAAACTGTCCTACCTTCCACACATTGTCGGTCATTTAGCATCATACAGTTTTTGTGACAAACAGTGAGTCCAAGTCAGTGATTTTTTCCTTAGTCACAGTTGAGTAAGAGTAACACAGCTTATTGTGTTCACTGTGGGAAAGTCAGCCAATTTGATTACCTGTTACCCAAGTCATCATTAAGCTTTGGTCAGATAGGGCAGCAAGAAGCCATTATTACAGCCTCAAATATTGTGCTTCATGTTCAACGGTGAGTGCTGAAGAGAAAATAAGTCTGCTAGAGTTAAATGACAAAACTAAAGTAGAAAGATCATCAAGTTTATAATTTATAAAAGAAGTTCAAAGCTAGATTTTAATGTTTTCATATTCAATCTTTCAGATACTCGAAGGTCTCCATATTTCAACCTTTGTGTATCTCTGCAGTTCTGTATCCATATACTATAAGTAATCATGTATGTGTATTTCTACTTCGAAGTTTGGTTATTTGGTCTTTTCAGCTATGTTTAAGAAGATATAATCCTTACCATGGTCACCCTCATGCCATTGGATGTCATTGCATTGCTTCTCTGTTCATGACATGGCCTTGCTGATATGAACCAGATACTGCCGTGATTAAACCATCAGATAACATTTCCAGCCTCAGACTCTTGGTGACTCTATTATTGAACTTTAGAGGAAAACATTCCCAACTGTTAAAAGCTGATAGTGGCTGGCCCTGCAGTCATCGTCAGAGAGAACTATTGTCTTGAATGAAAGTCATCTGTTTATGTCCTTCTTTGCTTTGAAACTTTAGCCAGACTCTGATTACAGTGGGAACGATCCAAGGCCACATCATTTTTGTTACCACTGGGTATTTGAAATCTGCTTACATTTTCAGTTGCAGTGGCAGTTTTTCATCATTGTCTTCTGTTGTAGCCTTTGTTACAAAACTTCAGGAAATTCCTCCTGAGAAACACTCTACTTCCTCATTCTGACCCACTCTTTACACACAGAACTGTTAGAGTTAGAGTTTAAGGTTGCACAATAAGGTGTTCTCAAGGGCAAACACAGGGTTTGGCTTATGGTCAGTGTCAACTTGTTATTTATGTCAAGGAAGAACCAAGTGACCCGTGATGCACACAATATGACTCAAGTTTATGACCGTGTGAGTTGTTTTATACAACTTGTCTTTTAACTGTCTTCATCTGATAAAACCAGCATCCCACTGTTCTCATCCTTTCATTTTCATTTGAATGAAAGTAAGTAAAGAGAGGCAAGAGATCAATGATAATAAAGCCACATTTCTGCTCCTTCTTACAGTACCATGAACAAACTATCAAGAATGTGCGTGAGGCATGTGAGAGCTTCGAGCCTGGCAGTATCCAGTACAGGCCTATTGGCATCGCTCTGGACACCAAGGGCCCAGAGATCAGAACCGGTCTCATCCAAGGGGTGAGTTTGGCAATGCCTGTTCTAGGTCTACTAATCAGAAGTCATCATAATGCCTTTTTGAGCACGTAAAACTATATTTGTGTTACAGAGTGGCACAGCTGAGGTGGAACTGGTGAAGGGCAACATGATCAAGATTACCTTGGACGATGCTTACCAGGACAACTGTAGCGATGAAATCCTCTGGCTTGACTACAAGAACATTACCAGGGTTGTAGAAATTGGCAGCAAGATCTACATCGATGACGGACTCATTTCCCTGCAGGTCAAAGAGATTGGTGAGTAGAGGATTGGCAAACAGAAATAAACTCCTTACTCTTTGTGAAAAAAGAGTGCATTGTCTTAATACCAAGGAAGATGCTTCAGCGGTTGATGTTTGACTTTCTGTTCAGGTTCTAATTACCTGAGCTGTGAAATCGAGAATGGCGGCACCCTGGGCAGCAAGAAGGGAGTGAACCTCCCTGGTGCTGCTGTCGATCTTCCCGCTGTCTCTGAGAAGGACATCAAGGATCTGCAGTTCGGTGTGGCGCAAGGAGTCGACATGGTCTTCGCTTCTTTCATCCGCAAAGCAGCAGATGTTCACGCTGTCAGAGCAGTGCTGGGGGAGAAAGGCAAAGACATCAAGATCATCAGCAAGCTTGAGAACCATGAGGGTGTACGCAGGTGTGTTTGTGTTGGGAGGGTCCAGTTATTCTTAGCGTTTGTTTACATCATGATATGTTTTCCCCGAGGCTCATATCCATTTATTTTCTATTATTTGGCTAGCTGAGCTACAAGGCTCTGAACAGAAGAAATTACCTCATCTCATTACATTGAATTAACTATTGAAATTTTTTGTCTCTCATGTAGATTTGATGAGATCATGGAGGCCAGCGATGGCATCATGGTTGCCCGTGGTGACTTGGGAATCGAGATCCCCACAGAGAAGGTGTTCCTCGCTCAGAAAATGATGATCGGTCGCTGCAACCGAGCTGGCAAGCCAATCACATGTGCTACTCAGGTAAGATCAAAGCAAGAGCTGGTTATGCAATGAGGAGGTGGGCACTCAGCTTCATTCACATTTAGTTTAACTCTGAAAAGCTTTTATTTTGAAATGAGTGCCTTTTTTCATGGACACCTTTCAGATGCTGGAGAGTATGATCAAGAAGCCCAGACCTACCCGTGCTGAGGGCAGTGACGTAGCAAACGCTGTTTTGGATGGAGCTGACTGCATCATGCTGAGCGGAGAGACTGCGAAGGGAGACTACCCCTTGGAGGCAGTGCGCACACAGCACATGGTGAGTTCACATGAAGTTAGTGTGGAAAAGCATCAGATTTTCTTAAAAAGAGGAGAAAAGATTCAGGTTTTGTTGGACTGTCTAGCATGTCATTGCTTTTAACCGCTGCATGTTTTTTCATAGGGTGAGAGATCACTCTTTCTGTTTTCTTAATCTTGTGCTCAGCTCAGCACATGACTCAGCAGCTTTTTTATCCACTTTGCGTTACAGCTGCTAAAGAACATACAAGCAGGACTGTTAGACCAACTGGAAAAATCTGAAAAAAAACAAACACATATTTTGGTTTAGCATATTCACTGACATTTTGGCATGCTCATGACCGATGCAACAATTAATCACCATAAAAAAGATAAGAGTTTAGACTACATCTCTGCAACATAAGCAATCACTTAACTGACGCTTCACATGGCTAAAACCTGCAGAGTTTCCACACAGCTGTGAGGATTGTGAAATTGGTTCAATATTTTTTTGCTTAGTTGTTGGAACATACTTAACATACTGCTATAGAGGAATGAGCAGGATCAATAGTTTTAAGAGATGATAAAACTTAAAAATTAAGCGTTTTCTTATTCACTTAGATTCAGTTTGATTATTTATAAGGCTTTAGATAATGTTTAGACAATGTGTGCATTTTCTTTGTACTATACTGTCATTTGTGTTGTTTATCTGTTTGTCAGTCAGGGACAGCTACACTAAATCTACACATCTTAAAGTCTGTACTGTTGACAATTTGGCTCCAACACATTTTATCCAAAAGCAATAAGTATCATTTGAGTTAAAAGATTAAACAGTCAAAGCTGTTTTGCTTGTCTTCTGCTGCTCTGGCCTGTCCTTGCTAACCTGCACTGCTCTCAGTGCCGCTCTGGTTGTACTGCTTTGCAGACACATCGGTGACTCAGCAGCTCCTCCCTCTGGCTTAATGACAGCAGGCTCAAAGTTACATTGGGAGTTCACAATCTGAAATTTACAACTTCCTGTTGAGCTTAAGCCATGTGCATGGAAAAGCATGTAGTCTAAATTGGATAGATTAATTCTGCTTCAAGCCTCTCCATTATCATTGACGCTCCATCTTTTATCTTTTCATGTTCTTCTTTTCTCACTGTTTCCTGTATTATGTGTTTGTAGATGTGCAGTGTGTGGCTTTTTAACTCCAGTCTCTCTTAAAAAAAAAAGAAAAGGTCAACCTCTTAATGTTTTCATTTTATAAAAGCTCAGCTCTTTTATTATATGAGATGTTGTTCTAGGTTTCACAGACATCATAACTCTAGACAGGCATGGTTTGTGTTTTACTACTTAATATGTAATGTCATATGAATAGTGTTAGCGAAACTTGACTCTAGGATGTTGTTGATTTCTTTGCACTAACTGCACACCCAAACTCTCCTTTCCTCTGTCCTCTCTGTTTTTCCCGCTGTCCTTTCTCCTTTCCTTTTGCTTAAATTCATCCTGTCTTCTCCTTCATCATGGTCTCCTTCTTTCTTCATATACCTGGCCTTTCTACTGTGTTTCACCCACTTCTCTCTTGTTCCATCTGCGTGTGCCTGGTGTGGGAATGCTTTTGCCTGATGCATCTTGCCCTCACTTGTGCCAGATTGCTCGTGAAGCCGAGGCAGCCATGTTCCACCGGCAGGTGTTTGAGGACCTGCGTCGCTCCACGCCGCACTGCAAAGACCCCGCTGAGGCTATTGCAATCGGCGCTGTTGAGGCCTCCTTTAAGAGCTTAGCCTCAGGGATCATTGTGCTCACTGGCTCTGGAAGGTAGGGAGGTTATCTTGTCCCCGCAGGTCGAGAAGACAATGACATTGGAGGTTCAGGAGAGGGAGAGTAGGGCCACTTAGGGACTGTGTGTGGAAATAACTGGGAGTACCTTGCAAATGTGTGAAGTAGACTGCTGGTTCAATTTCTCCAAACCATTTGAGTAAAAACCCTAAAATGTATGCTTCACTCAAAAGTCTGGCTGATTTACTTCAGCTTCCCTTGATTTCTTTTAGTTCCCAATATCAGAGCAAAACTCAACCAGTCTTTACCAGGAGTCTAGTTAAGCATTTGCAGATCATTCCCAGTGGTGTGTATGACTTTGTGTGAGTAGTGGTAACCCCCCCACTCCCCTCCATCCCCCTTCACCCTTCCCTCGTGGTCCCACTGTGCTCAGATAGCACGGGAGGCCGAGGCAGCCACTTTCCACAGAAAGCTGTTTGAGGAGCTGAGGAGACACTCCCACCTGACTAGAGACCCCTCAGAGGCTGTAGCTGTCGGAGCTGTCGAGTCATCATTCAAATGTTGCGCTAGTGCCATCATTGTTCTCACCAAGACGGGGAGGTAAGAAAGAGAGGTATTAAAATGGAGCTGGTCTTGAAGGTAAGGTGTCACCACGCTAATGAAGACCTGACTGACAGAACCTCCTAATTCTGCTCTTACAGAACCCCTGCCTTTTGATTTTGTGTGTATGTGTGAGTGTGTGCCTGACTGCTATTACATATTATGGGTAGAGTTAGCTAGCAACATATGGTAAGAGTTAGAGCGGCATCAGTCTGCATCATGGCCCAATGTCCTTCATTACTTCTTAAACCATTGTATTTTCATATGATGATCATTTGATGACCAGTGGCCTGTCATAATATTGACAGGATATCTGATGTTTAAACAACTAGTAAACCTGAACCTGAAACACAACAGTCCAATCATGCAACAGCTGTTGAGTTTTCCGGTCTGAGATTGATGTCAGAGGAAAATGGCTGCCCTGTGAATGTGGAAAATCTGCCCAGTCCCAAGTCCATCCCTCACAGACCAGATTTATCAGCTGTCATAAAAATAGATTGCTTCTGCATTTCTCCTCATTGTATAAAAAAAATATGACATCAGATTACACTTCAGGACAACACAAATTAAACCTGAAGCCCTGCCTTAAGCAGTATAGTGATAGTCTGTGCAGGTAAACTTGTCACTGTCACTGATTTAGGTACTTTTTGGCCTTCCCTTTAATCCCTGTCTTTGTATCATTATACATTTATTGGTTTAAAATGTTAGTGCGCCTGCTGCTGTCTGTCACAGGAGAGCGATTTCACTGTGAAACAGCTCTAAGCCAACGCTGCTCTCACAGGAATGTCAGTGAACATCCCAGTGTTTCGAGATTGGATGTTTAGATTTGGCCACTGAAGCCTCTGCCCAACCCTGATTCAGAGTTTTCAGCTACTTCTGCTGATTCAACCTCTCCGGGTTGTCGGGGCATTCCCGGATTTTGCCCCGCTTCCCCTTTTTTCTGTTTAAATCATTCCTGTTAGGGTGTAGTATTATCTAATTATGGTTGTAGCTAACCCCCAGCTTATACAAGCTGAACTGTGCCTGAGAAGAAGCCAGAATATCTGAAAACACCCCCATGAAGGACAGTGGTCTAATTGTGATGAATGACATTTTTGAGAATTGATTCGCATGATCTTGATTTACCTGCACTAATACTTCTTTGTGGTGTATACAGTGGAAGATAATATTCGTTGTAAGGCTTGAAACAAACTTCAAATTGCCTTTAAGCTGCATCTGATTAATCTCTAATTAATTTAGCACACACCTGAAGAAACAGATATGTGCATCTTAGCATTACCTTTATGTTTTTTCCAGCTGTTGTCCTTTATCACTTATCACAGATGATCAAATGAAGGGGCTGTTTTTCACATTGCTGTGTTTTTGTGTGTGTGTCTGTGTAGATCTGCTCACCTGCTCTCCAGGTACAGGCCCCGTGCCCCCATCATCGCCGTCACCCGTAATGCCCAGACAGCTCGTCAGGCCCACCTGTATCGTGGCATCTTCCCAGTCCTTTACACCAAGCCTGCCCATGATGTGTGGGCAGAGGACGTGGACATGCGTGTCAACTTTGCCATGGATATGGGTAAGTAAACAGATGTTTTAAAGATGTAAAACAGTACAGAAATGAAGGACATCAATTTTTTAAAACTAATCAGTGAAAAGAAAAGTAAAGCAGTGTCTCCGGGCAATATCTTGTACTGCAGTAGTTTATCATGTTTGTTGTTTTGTCTTCTTAAATTCAGGCAAGGCCAGAGGCTTCTTCAAAGAGGGGGATGTTGTCATTGTCCTGACCGGCTGGCGTCCAGGCTCCGGTTACACCAACACCATGCGTGTGGTTCTGGTAGCTTGAACCCCTAACACAGCTGCTCTGCTTTCTCCCTCCACCTTCATCTTTATTTCATAGCGCTCCACTAGCACTCCAGCTCACAGCCCCTCTCATCTAAGACTTGGACTCGCCTGCTGAAGAATTTAGCTTTTAGAAGTTAGAATATACTACATAGTAAGTTCTTCTTGGCCAGAGATCTATTTTGGGTTATATAGGAGGCTTGTTTCATACAATCCCTTATTATGTCTCCAGTCATTTCACATCAGTTCTCTCTATCAAACCAGTCTGCAGGGCCTCAGAATACTACACCCAGACCAGAAACTGCTGTATTTATTCACTCAATCATTATATAAAAAGCGAACCAGTTGGAGAGTGAATACATCCTGGTCTGTGTGCATGCGCGTACTGAATCTTGTTTAGGTGGGGCTGGTGGTGGGGCAGGCTGATTTTTTGCAGAGCACCTTTAGTACTTTGAAACTTTAATCACACTCCTGTGCCAGTATAACCAACAAACTTATGGCATCCTAAATGAAAAGGGCTCCTCCCACAGTGCAGCCTTTGCACCATCACTCCACCCAAACAGATCCTTGTGTACTGTCTGTATGAAGTGTCCTCTCTTAAAGCCAGCTTCCACTGTGTTAATGTGTATCTATAAGTGTTGCACTCTTGTTCTACTCCAGACAATGTTACATTCGATATAATACTTGACTTTTGTGAATGGTAAAGTTTTGTCTCAGGACATCCAATTCTTCTTCTATTTTGACTTTAGAGAAATGTTAGTTTTGGATGTCCACTTCTGAATATTTGAGCTAGTTACTGTGTTTGTGTTATTAGATGTGTCAGAAAGCCTTTACATTTATTTGCATTGGATCATATCTAAGTTAGCACTCATATGAATCAGGTTTGGTTCACTAATGTTGACTGATGTGAATGAGCACTTTTAGGGTTTTGTTCCCACAAGGGACCTGATAAGGGATGAAGCTCTGTCCCTCTCAACTCCAGTGGGTGAGCGGTCGCCCCCTCGCTTGTATTTCTCCTTCTATGTTGATGACCCACTGTGGCTGTCTCCGTGTGTCTAACATGCTTTGGATTGTAACGCTAGAGTGAAAAACTAACCACATGTAAAGGGGTAATATAATGTATAGCTGGTGTACTGAGCTGTCCTTAAAGACTGGATTTCCATCAATAAATGAGATGAGCACCTATTGAAACTCTGTCTCTGGAATCTTTTACTTGAAGATGAAGAATCACGACTTACAGCCCCTGAGTTAAACTGTCGTAAATTTAAGTGACAGTCAAATTAAGATGTTTAGGAGAAACTTTTAAAAACTTGACATACAAAAGGTATTTTTGACATGTCAGTGTCCATGTCCCAAAACTAGCTGTATTGATGCCCACAAAAGTAACTCATCAAGGAGACATTGATCACTTGCGAAGCAGTTTTATTAGCTTGTTGCACTCAAAAACTTGTTCATTTCAACCAGATAAAATTTAGATTGTTTCATCCTTAATATTTATTGGAAGTCCTGGCTGTAAGTTACCCCCACCTGCCTTCGGATCTCATCCTCCAGCTCAGCCAGTAGCAGAGAGTCAGCATGGGACATAACTGCACTCTCCTTCAGCCCTGCATGGGAAGAGTATATACTGTCAGAGAACACTGAATATACAAGCAGAGCAAAATACATGACCCAGTGTCATAAGTGTAAGTCAGTATATGGTAAGGGCCGGGATGAATTGTGTTTGTGATGCCACCTGGTGTTCAATTTGTAAATTACAGTTGTAAGAAAATGCCTGATCCGCAGCCTAACTGACACTACCAAACTAGACTCTTTAAAAGCGGTTTAGCTGGTCTATATGTCTAAATGCCTCAGATGATGAGGGCTACTATGTTTTAAGATGATGTAACAGCAACATTGAAAATAACTAAAATCAGTGCTTTGTGATAACACACTGTAATATGCTGTAATGTAGGCCTGGTTGGGCAGAGTTTAGTACATGCTTTGAGGCAGGAAAAATTATATTCAGTAGTTCATCAATGTAAACTTAAAATCTCCTTTCATATTTTTTACTCAATGGCATGGTCTTGTCTCACTGCATCTTCAGTCTGTCCTCCAAAAATGATTCATCCTAAATCTTCAGAAAAAAAAAAGCTCTCCACCTCCTTTTTTCCCATTCCCCTTCACAGCATCAATTATACGTCTAAGGCCTGAGAAATGCAGAGGTTGTACCTACTCAGGTGTTGTGCATTGTGAACTACACACAAACTTTTAGGCCCAATGGTGTCTGTCTTTGCGATGATTTTTTTTTAAATAATAAGTTTATTTACTGTGATGATGTATGAACTCAGTCTCTATCTTGGAGTACCTTTAAGCAAACACTGTCGAACCTCCTCTGCTTCATAACGCATCCCTGTACTGTTGATGAAGTTCAGAGGCAGATAAGGCTCAGGCACTGGATACTGAGTTTCCTTTCCATTGACTTCTAAGGATGTAGGGCACCACATGTGTTCAGGAACCTGAAAGCATGCAACAGGATATTTCTATTAACAAGAACAATAGGAGGTTAATTATCAGTTGATGTGCAGTACACTCTGTGGTGAAACTTAAAGAATTAAACTCCTTAGTTCCCTGGTTGTAATTCTTACACATATTTTTTATTTCATATTTTATCTGATGACATAACTTTGCTTTGATGACCTACCCTGATGGTGCCCTTTGTGCCCACAATAAGGGCATCATTACGCAACTGCACACTGGAAGAGCAAGTAAATACTGCCATCCTGTTTCTGGAGAACTTCAGAGTGACAACTACAGTTTCATCCACTCCTGCAAAAAAACACAAATACATACGTTACATAACAGAGCAGAGCTTTTTAGTCATTTTAATCTTCTTCTCCTGTGGGATGCTTTATTTGTGTGAACTGAGAAATTTCTAACCGAGGGAGCTTCCAGTCCCTTAGGCATCACATCTTATCTCTTTCATGTCATCATGTGTTTACTGCCACAATTAAGGTGAAGGTTTGATGGTACCAACACCTCCTGTTGCCTTTTATTCTTATAAACACTACACCTCTCAAACATAAAACACAGTGAGAGGAACTAGCTCAACATAATTTTTCAAAAGAGGCATGAAAGACAAGAATCAAGACTGTTCAACCTAGGAAACCGGATTTTAGTTTTGTAACTGCACAATGAAATGAAAATCACAGTGAGGTCTGTAGGTAAGAAAACAAACCGTGTGACCTCTCTGGTGATGCATTCAAAACTATTCTAGTAAATGTGTATTATACATTTTGTGCAAAGCATCATTTTCAATGTTAATGATGAGCTTCAGAAATCATATCTGTGTCACCTCAGTGGTCACTTTTTTATTACCTGTGTCCAAGCATACCCCCATGGCCTGGATGCACTCTGGCTTCTCTCCATTGAATACCATGCAGATGAACTGTAGGCAGTAGACGCCTATATCCAGAATAGCTCCTGCGCCCAGTTCCTTCTTTGAGGATCTTGGTACGTGCAACACTGACACGCAAAAGTCAGCTTTCACCAGCTTCACCTCACCCACCTCCCCCTGGGCTAGCAGCCGCCTGATCTCCACTGAGGCAGGGAAAAATCGGGTCCAGACAGCCTGGGATTAAAAAATAGAGGTATTTTAAACAGGGTGTGTGCCATGGAAAGTGAAACTGTGAAGGAAATCTAAGTTTTTCTCAAGCCATACCTCCATGAAAAAGACATCATTTTTCTTTGCAGAGGCCAGGATCTCCTGGACCTCCTTGGAGTTCATGGCCAGCGGCTTCTCACACAGAACGTTCTTCTTGGCATTTGTAAACAGCAGACTTGTTTTCAGATGGTAGGGATGGATAACCCCAATGTAAATCACATCTTCACTCACAAAACACCAAAACCAAACAGAGATTTCTGTGTCAGTAAAAGCTATTCAAAAGAAAGAATTCATCTCTGACTCAACTTTTCAGCAAATGATCAAATCAACATAGAGAGAAGTCAGCTGAGTCATCAGGTCTGAAAAAAACTTGCCTATGTCTGGGTCTCTTGCCAGCTCCTCATAGCTGCCATAAGCCCGGGAGATGTTGTGTTTTTTGGCAAACTCCTGTGCATCTTCTAACTTGCGAGCTGCCACAGCCACCACCTGTGAAAAAACAGTTTCTAAACAACATCTGTGGAAACATGATGCTCCATTTGCAGTCTGTAACCCTGACTTAGGGCTGATGAGAAGGCTGCCCGAAAACTGAAAAACATTCTGTATTTCCATTTCTGCATTAATTTCAACATATCTGACATGTTCAGTTCAGAGTCTTAAATAACCTTATACTGTGTATAGTGGCCATACTTCTGATGATGAATAAATCAAGTAAACATCAGGTATGTTAAGAGGTGGTCTGAGGAGGCCACTGAGGCGCTGCAGGACTGTTTTGAGACCACAGACTGGGATGTACTGTGTGGCCCACATGGTGATGACATCGACACCATGACTGACTGCATCACGGACTATATTAACTTCTGTGTTGAGAACACCGTACCCACCAGGAAAGTACGGTGTTTCTCCAACAGCAAACCCTGGGTGACCCCGGAACTGAAAGTCCTCCTGAAGGAGAAGAGGAGGGTCTTTAAATCTGGGGACAAGGAGGAGCTGAGGAGGGTGCAGAAGGAGTTGAAGAAGAAGATCAGAGAGGGAAAGGCCAGCTACAAGACCAAGATGGAAAACCTTTTGCAACAGAACAACGCAAGGGAGGTCTGGAGAGGCCTAAAATCCATCTCAGGTCATAGCAGGGGCCATGAGAGGGGATCTGAAGCAGGAGACAGGGAGTGGGCCAACGAGCTGAATCTGTTCTTCAATAGATTTAACTCTACTCCCACTCCTCCCCCGACTCATCTAACCAACGACCCGTCTGCTGCTCCTCCTTCTTCTTATTCTTATTCACACCACCTCAGTCCCATGGCACCGACACCATCAACCCCCCTCCACTCATCCTCCACCACCCCCTCCAGCACCACCCCCAGCCTCTCCATAACAGCTGACCAGGTGAGAAGTGAGCTGAGGAAGATGAAGCCAAGGAAAGCCACGGGTCCTGACGGCATCAGCCCCAGACTCCTGAAAGACTGTGCAGACCAGCTCTGTGAGGTGCTACTGCACATCTTCAGCTTGAGCCTGAGTCTGGAGAGGGTCCCAACACTGTGGAAGACTTCCTGCGTGATTCCTGTCCCCAAGACAGCGCACCCTAGGGAGCCCAACCACTTCAGACCTGTGGCCCTCACTTCTCACCTGATGAAGACTCTGGAGAGGATCGTGCTGAGGAACCTCCGCCCCCTGGTGAGCTCTCATCTGGATCCTCTGCAGTTTGCGTACCAGCCAAACATCGGGGTGGATGACGCAGTCATCTACCTGCTGCAGAGGTCCATGGCTCACCTGGAGAACACTGGCAGCACTGTGAGGGTCATGTTTTTTGACTTCTCCAGTGCGTTCAACACCATCCAGCCTTCACTGCTCAGGGGGAAGCTCGAGCGGGCGGGAGTGGACTGTCACCTAGCCGCATGGACCGTGGACTACCTCACCGACAGACCACAGTTTGTGAGGCTTCAGAACTGTGTATCGGACATGGTGGTCTGCAGCACGGGGGCTCCACAGGGGACAGTGCTCTCCCCCTTCCTCTTCACCCTGTACACCTCAGACTTCAGCTACAACTCTGGGAGCTGTCACCTCCAGAAGTTCTCTGATGACACAGCCATCGTCGGATGTGTATCGTCAGGGGACGAGCGGGAATACAGGACTGTCATCACTGACTTTGTCAACTGGTGTGGCACAAACCACCTACAGCTCAACGCCAGTAAGACAAAGGAGATGGTTGTGGATTTTCCGCAGGAGGGGGACACCTCAAACAGTTCCAGTGAACATACAGGGTCTGGACATCGAGATGGTGGAGTCCTACAGATTCCTGGGTGTCCACCTCAACAACAAACTGGACTGGTCAACAAACACAGACGTTCTGTACAAGAAGGGCCAAAGTCGTCTCCACCTGCTGAGGAGACTGAGGTCCTTTGGAGTGTGCAGGACTCTGCTCAGGACTTTCTATGACTCTGTGGTAGCATCTGCACTTTTCTATGCAGTGGTCTGCTGGGGGGCAGGGAGCACCGAGAGGGACAGGAAGAGACTGAATAGACTGGTCAGGAGGGCCGGTTCTGTCCTGGACTGCTCTTTGGACTCCCTGGAGGAGGTGGGTGAGAGGAGGATGTTAACAAAGCTTATATCCATCATGGACAATCCCTCTCACCCACTGCACCAGACTGTGGGGGCTTTAGGCAGCTCCTTCAGCAGCAGACTGAGACTCCCACCCTGCAGGACGGAGCGCTACCGCAGATCATTCCTCCCCTCTGCAATAAGACTTTACAATGAACAGTAACAAAACTGGATTTACACCACCACTTTTTTTATGGCATTTAAATTGTGTATATTGCAGAAAGCTTTATTTTTTCTTCTCCCTTTTCTCTTTTCAATTTTTTTTTTTTTTTTCTTAATTATTACATTTATTAAGTTCTTAATATTAGGACCCTTATTGTTATAACTGCATTTTGCACTTTCTGTCTTGTCTGTGATGCTGCTGTGACAAAAAAATTTCCCCCATGGGGGATCAATAAAGGAATATTCTATTCTATTCTATTCTATTCTAAAACAGGTGAATTTATTCACCTGACAGTTGTCATGAGTGGGTAACTGCTATTAACATATCAGCTGCAAAGATAAGCTAAACTAAACTAAAATAACAAAAACATAAAAAAATGATAACAAATTTTTTTTTGTTGGACCCACAGACTGTATATAGCAAAGTCTCACTCTCAAAACTGCAGGTTTTCACATTACTGCACTGCTTTTACGGCAGTTGCTGTTTCGGCTAAATTGAATCAGGATAGAATAGTAACTGAATGGCCACGATCTCCCGTCAATACAAAGATAATTAAGGAGAAACCGAGGACGATTTAACTTTTTTATTTTTACATTTAATCATATACGCAGTGAAAGCATATAGGGGAGATTGGGGTAAGATGAGCAATTTTTCATATTTCAGATCACTTCATCAAGGCACTCATAGTTTTGTCTCTCACTAGTGTATCTGCATATATTTCAAGATGTTGTGCATCCCTGCAAACCAACAGACTGAGTGTAAATATAACTGTCTTGATAATACAGCATGCCAAAAAAGTGGTCTCCTATGGTCAACTTACCCCGTTGACCATAGCAGTGGGGTAAGTTGAGCCGTATCCCTCCTACCCCCCCCCCCCCCCCACACACACACACACACACACACACACACACACACACTCTCCACCCCAGCCCTCCCTCACCTTCTCTCTCCCTAAATAACAGTAAATTCCTCTCATTTATGTGTATTATATGTTATTCAACTGGTACAATAATTCTTTTTAATATTATCGCACATAACTGTTAAAAAGCTGTTTTGTAAAAAGTCATTTTAACATGAGAATGTCTTTAAGTGATTCAGAACATTCACAGCTGTAATTTTGAAAAGAAAAAGTAACACATTTCAACAATCTGAACTGAAACTCTGATCCTCTCATCAGACTCCTTTACTTTCTCAGCTGAGCCACAGGCTCAACTTACCCCAGAACTCCTATTATGACTTTATTAGTCCTCTAAGCTAAAATGGTGGACTTTTATGCTAGGTTTTTGTCCTCATGTTGTAGCTCATAGATACCACAACTGATGTATAAAACAAATTTAAAATAATCTTTTTTAATCTGAACCCAATTCTAATAAAATTTATGACGGACTAAATTTACTTTCAAGAGTGAAAAATGTTTTTTTGGAAATAAATGTCTAACCTCTTCACCCATGTGCTTCTTACCTTCACAGATTTCATGAATTGATGCCCATCTCCTAAATATTTGGTCATATGATCAATTTCTTCTACCATTTCCAAGCAACAGGGAGTGGCTCAACTTACCCCACTCTCCCCTATACTATCTCGGTGCATGATTATAGAGCAGGAACTTTGTAACATGCCCACATACTAAGTGTTTTACGGTAAAATTTTAACGTAAGCTAACGTAAGGTTTGCTTGTTGGACATAGTTAAAACTTTGACATTTCAACTGGTTTAGCACGTAACTAGCGACCTGCTGTGGTGGCGTTAAGCTCCGTAGGCCTATAGCCGCTTATCCCGCAGTAAATCCAAAAGTTAAATCCAGGACCTGATTGAATCAGTGAAACAATATTAGCGTGGTCTAGACCTGCTCTTTATTCCGGAAAGCGTTTTAGGATAACGACTGTTGTGATTTAGTCCTTTATAAATAAAATTTGATTGATTGGTTTGATTGAAAGCAGGTGATAACGATTTGTCGCGATCAGCAAATTCTATTGCAGCGCTGAAGTTCTTTTTTTTCCGTGTACTGTCGTAACACCTACACTTTTAGATAACTCTGAAAGCATGTTTATACATCTCGTCGTTGTTATACCTGATGGTCTTCAGGAGCAAGAGTTTTCAGAGCAACAGTGAAGTCGTGGCTGATCTTCCCCGCACTGCATATGCCCCACCTGGTTGCCATGTTGGAAAGCAAATAAGTGTGTTATCCAGCAGATATGATCAAATCTACTACTGCGTTTCCACCACGAGATGGAGACACAGTATTAGTTTTTATTGTACGAAGTCGCACAAATACCAGCGTTTACATGTTGATAAATCTTGTCAACAGGACAACTTTTGGCAGATTGTTTTGTTTTGAGTCGACTAGCCTATGAAAGCTTTTATTCGACAAGTAAAGCCAAAGCCAGCTTCCACTGTGTTAATGTGTATCTATAAGTGTTGCACTCTTGTTCTACTCCAGACAATGTTACATTCGATATAATACTTGACTTTTGTGAATGGTAAAGTTTTGTCTCAGGACATCCAATTCTTCTTCTATTTTGACTTTAGAGAAATGTTAGTTTTGGATGTCCACTTCTGAATATTTGAGCTAGTTACTGTGTTTGTGTTATCCAGTGGGTGAGCGGTCGCCCCCTCGCTTGTATTTCTCCTTCTACTAGGATTTTAGTGTGGACACTAACCGTGTGAAAACGTGTCAGTGTTCATGTCTCAAAACTAGCTTTATTAATGCCCACAAAAGTAACTCACCAAGGAGACATTGTTCACTTGCAGAGCAGTTTTATTAGCTTGTTGCACTCAATAACTTGTTTATTTCAATTAGATAAAATTTAGATTGTTTCATCCGTAATATTTATTGGAAGTCCTGGCTGTAAGTTACCCCCACCTGCCTTCGGATCTTATCCTCCAGCTCAGCCAGTAGCAGAGAGTCAGCATGGGACATAACTGCATTCTCCTTCAGCCCTGCATGGGAAGAGTATATACTGTCAGAGAACACTGAATATACAAGCAGAACAAAATTCATGACCCAGTGTCATAAGTATAAGTCAGTGTATGGTAAGGGCTGGGATGAATTGTGTTTGTGATGCCACCTTGTGTTCAATTTGGAAATTACAGTTGTAAGAAAATGCCTGATCCGCAGCCTAACTGACACTACCAAACTAGACTCTTTAAAAGCGGTTTAGCTGGTCTATATGTCTAAATGGCTCAGATGATGTGGACTACTATGTTTTAAGATGATGTAACAGCATCATTGAAAATAACTGAAATCAGTGCTTTCTGATAACACAGTAGTTATATTCAGTAGTTCATCAATGTAAACTTAAATTAAACTTAAAATCCTCCTTTCATATTTCTTACTCAATGGCATGTCCTTGTCTTGCTGCATCTTTAACTTGTCCTCCAAAATGATCCATCCTAAATCTTCATAAAAAAGTCCTCCACTGTTCAAAAAGTTCACAGCAAATTTCCGCTACATTGTCTGTTGTCTTTTGATAAATGAACTGAATATAAAAGATCTTAGTGGGGAAAATCTTCTTTTTCTGATTTGAATTTTTGATAAGAGGCAACCAAAAAAAAAAAAACATATTTAAAATTTAATGGATCACTTATGGAGCAACTCATTCTTCTGACAATAAACCATCAATACCTCTAGATTGTCAAGCTGAAAAACACACATTATTTTTTCTCTTTATAACTGATTATTTAATATTACTCTGAAATCTACCTTGAATGCAAAGTCAGCTGATATTGTAACATTGGTGATTGTCTTTTTCTTGGTACAAATCCACCTCCTGCTTTCCCATTATCCTTCACAGCATCAAGGCCTGAGCGATGCAGAGGTTGTACCTACTCAGGTGTGGTGCATTGTGAACTACACACAAACTTTTAGGCCCAATGGTTTCTGTGTTTGCGATGAAATTTTTTTTAAAATAATATGTTCATCTACTGTGATGATGTATGAACTCAGTCTGCATTCTTGGAGTACCTTTGAGCAAACACTGTCGAACCTCCTCTGCTTCATAACGCATCCCTGTACTGTTGATGAAGTTCAGAGGCAGATAAGGCTCAGGCACTGGATACTGAGTTTCCTTTCCATTGACTTCTAAGGATGTAGGGCACCACATGTGTTCAGGAACCTGAAAGCATGTAACAGGATATTTCTATTAACAAGAATAATAGGAGGTTAATTATCAGTCGATGTGCAGTACACTTAATTGACAGAATAAGACTTATTGGTTCTCTGGTTGTAATTTTTTAAACATATTTTATTTCATATTTTATCTGGTGACATAACTTTGCTTTGATGACCTACCCTGATGGTGCCCTTTGTGCCCACAATAAGGGCCTCATTGCGCAACTGCACACTGTAGGAGCAAGTAAACACTGCCATCCTGTTCCTGGAGAACTTCAGAGTGACAACTACAGTTTCATCCACTCCTGCAAAAAAACACAAATACATACGTTACATAACAGAGCAGAGCTTTTTAGTCATTTTAGTTTTCTTTTCCTGTGGTATGCTTTATGTGTGTGAACTGAGAAATTTCTAACCGAGGAAGCTTCCAGTCCCATAGGCATCACTTCTCACATCTTTCATGTCATCATGTCATTCAGTCTTGTCTCAGTCCACATTCAGCAATCATCAAACCAACAGCCAGGAATCTGGGAGTAACCTTCGATTCTGACCTCACCTTCTCCACCCACATCAACAAGACTGTCCAGTCCTGTTTCCTTCACCTGCGTTCTCTCGCAAAGATTAAACAGATACTCACCCCACCAGATCTTGTAAAAATAATCCACGCTTTCATTTTCTCAAGGCTGGACTACTGTCACTCTCTCCTCCCTGGTTAAAACAAGAAATCACTCTCCCGCCTCCAACTAGTTCAGAATGCAGCAGCTCGGCTTTTAACCGGTTTTAGTAGACGGCATCACATCACTCCAATTTTAACCTCCCTTCACTGGCTTCCTGTCAGTTTTAGAATTGATTTAAAGATTTTATTGATTACTTTTAAAGCGCTCAAAGGACTTGCTCCGAGCTACATTTCAGAGCTTTTAATACTTTAAGAGCCAACTCGCAGCCTCAGATCCTCTGGCGAAGGCCTCCTGGTCGTTCCAAAGTCGAGGCTCAAAACTAAAGGTGATAGAGCTGTCTCCATCAGAGCTCCTCGACTTTGGAACGACCTGCCAGAGGAGATAAGGTGTGCAGAGACAGTCGCTTCTTTTAAGTCAAATTTAAACTCACTTTTACAGACTCTCTTTTATGTGATGCCGTCTTTTCTTATTTTTTCCCTTTTTCCCTTTATCTCTTTTACCTCTATTTTATTTCAACTAACTATCCTTTTAGCCTTTGTTTTACTTATAATCTTTTCTTATTTTACCTTTTAGGCCCTTCACTGATTTTATTGTTTTTTCCTGCTCATTTTTGTTATTCCATTTTATCATTAATATTACCAACATTATTATTTTATTATGATTTTATTATCATTATTAATATCCTCTTTTATATTTACATTTACTATTCTGTTTCCTGCTCTCTGCCCCCCTTTTCTAATACTTTTCTTCTTCTTACTTATTTTATGGTCCTCATGGTCTCATTTTATGTTGTAGGGTTCTTGTATTGTCTGGGTTTCTTATGAAAAATGAAGTTGGCCTTCAATTCAGAGGCCTTGTTTTATTTGTTTTTATTTCCATGTGCTGGTGTTCTATGCTTTTCAAGTGTTTGTCAAAGCACTTTGTAAACTTCTGTTTTTAAAAGTGCTATAAACATATTATTATTATTATTATTATTACTATTATGTGTTTACTGCCACAATTAAGGTGAAGGTTTGATGGTACCAACACCTCCAGTTGCCCTTTATTCTTATAAACACTACACCTCTCCATCATAAAACACAGTGAGAGGAACTCACTCAACATAGTATTTGAAAAGAGGCATGAAAGACAAGAATCAAGACTGTTCAACCCAGGAAACCGGATTTTAGTTTTGTAACTGCACGATGAAATGTAAATCACAGTGAGGTCTGTAGGTAAGAAAACAAATCATGTGACCTCTCTGGTGATGCATTCAAAACTATTCTAGTAAACGTGTATTATACATTTTGTGCAAAGCATCATTTTCAAGGTAATGATGAGCTTCAGAAATCATATCTGTGTCACCTCAGTGGTCACTTTTTTATTACCTGTGTCCAAGCATACCCCCATGGCCTGGATGCACTCCGGCTTCTCTCCATTGAATACCATGCAGATGAACTGTACGCAGTAGATGCCTAAATCCAGAATAGCACCTGCGCCCAGTTCCTTCTGGGTTGATCTTGGTACGTGCAACACTGGCACGCAAAAGTCAGCTTTCACCAGCTTCACCTCACCCACCTCTCCCTGGGCTAGCAGCCGCCTGATCTCCACTGAGGCAGGGAAAAATCGGGTCCAGACAGCCTGGGATTAAAAAATAGAGGTATTTTGAACAGAGTGTGCCATGGAAAGTGAAACTGTGAAGGAAATCAAAGTTTTTCTCAAGCCATACCTCCATGAAGAAGACATCATTTTTCTTTGCACAGGCCAGGATCTCCTGGACCTCCTTGGAGTTCATGGCCAGCGGCTTCTCGCACAGAACGTTCTTCTTGGCATTTGTAAACAGCAGACTTGTTTTCAGATGGTAGGGATGGATAACCCCAATGTAAATCACATCTTCACTCACAAAACACCAAAACCAAACAGAGATGTCTGTGTCAGTAATAGTTATTGTAGCAGTGAAATATCCTCAATAATGTAAAACAGTTGTGGACTGAACTGAGCTGTAGAGGAAATTAAAGATCTAGCTGTTATTTTTGTACTGTTGAATTCATCTCTGACTCAACTTTTCAACAAATGATCAAATCAACATAGAGAGAAGTCAGCTGAGTCATCAGGTCTGAAAAAAACTTGCCTATGTCTGGGTCTCTTGCCAGCTCCTCATAGCTGCCATAAGCCTGGGAGATGTTGTGTTTTTTGGCAAACTCCTGTGCATCCTCTAACTTGCGAGCTGCCACAGCCACCACCTGTGAAAAAACAGTTTCTAAACAACATCTGTGGAAACATGATGCTCCATTTGCAGTCTGTAACCCTGACTTAGTTTCTGCATTAATTTCAACATATTTAGTTCAGTTCAGAGACTCAAATAACCTTTTAGTGTATATAGTGGCTATACCTCTGATTATCAATCAATCAATCAATCAAATTTTATTCTTATAGTGCCAAATCACAACAGTCATCATTCCAAGACACTTTTCAAAGAAAAAGAGCAAGACTAGACCACGCTAGGTGTTTGATGAATTATGAAGACCCAACCTTAAGATGGGACAGATTTGACCCATCTCATCTTACATGAGTAACAGTGGCAAGGAAAAACTTCCTTTTAACAGGCAGAAACCTTGGGACAGACCAGACTCATGTTAGACAGCCACCAAGCCACTGCTGGGTTGGGGAAAAATACAGAGAGATAGGGAGGTAGAGAGAGAGAGAGGAGTAGGAGAGAGGGCATGGGAAGAGAAAGAAAAGGAGAGAGAAAGAGTAAGGGAGGGGTAGGGAGAGACAAGAGAGAGAGACAGGGGACAGCAGCAACATTAAAACAACAACAACAACAACAACAGCTCATGCAGAGTTGTGATTGTAGAGCAAGTAATGATAAAACAAAATGGATTCAGTTCACAGGATTAGGATATCATAGCCCATGTTAAATTAAATAAATGTGATTACAGTTAGCAGGCCTAATAGTAGTTAATTTTAGCTTTATGTTATTAATGTCTGATGATGTATCACTCCGGTAAAAAAGGTGAGTTACTTCACCTGACATTTGTCATGAGTGGGTTACTGTGCTATTAACATATCTGATGCAAAGATAAACAACAACAAAAAAAAAAAATGTTTTTTTTTTTTTTTTTGTTTATCTTTGCATCAGAAAAAAAAAATGTTTTTTTTTTTTTTTTACATTTAATCATTTACGCAGTGAAAGCATACCTCGGTGCAGGATTACAGAGCAGGAACTTTGTAACATGCCCACATACTAAGTATTTTACGGCTAGCACTGATGTATCTAATTTGGTTTGCTTGTCAGACATAGTTAAACTTTGACATTTCAACTGGTTAAGCATGTAACTAGTGACCTGCTTCAGTGGTGTTAAACTCAGTAGGCCTTTAGCCTACACCGATTTATTCCGCAGTAAATCCAAAAGTTAAAGTCAGGACCTGATCTGAAAGCAATTCCGAATTGTCGCGATCAGCAAAGTCTATTTCGGCTGTGAAGTTTTTTCTTTTTTTTTCCGTGTACTGTCGAGACATCTACACTTTTAGATAAGTCTGAAATCATGTTTATATATCTCGTCGTTTTTAAACCTGATGGTCTTCAGGAGCAAGAGTTTTCAGAGCAACAGCGAAGTCGTGGCTGATCTTCCCCGCACTGCATATGCCCCACTTGGTTGCCATGTTGGAAAGCAAAGTGTGTTATCCAGCAGATATGATCAAACCTACTACTGCGTTTCCGCCACGAGATGGAGACACAGTATTAGTTTTTATTGTATGACGTCGCACAAAAACCAGCGTTTACATGTTGATAAATCTTGTCAGTAGGACAAATTTTGGCAGATTGTATTGTTTTGAATCGACTAGCCTATGAAACCTTTTCTTAGACAAGTAAATGCAACAGCGTACATCTGCAGTAAAGATGAGAAAAGTAAAGATGGCCCTTCTTTCTTTCTAATCTACTGCACTTCCATGTTGTTCACCAAATAGAGAGATAGTAGGGGGAGATTACATTGCATCAAACAGTGTTGCTCTGCATTCAAAGGCTGATTCAAACAAGCGCTCTTCCAGTTTTAGGAGTCCTCTGAGCCTAAAAGGTTGAGAACAGTTATTAAATGAGCCGTGCTCTTTGCTGACTCATAAAGGCCTTTCTCCGTCCCAACCTTGAAAAGCAGACAGTGCAACCTATTTTTGTATGGAGAGCATGCATCTATTTGTGCGCTACAGCTTGGGTTGGACATGACAGAACATTTTGATTCAAATGTGCCACTCAATGTCTGTCTCTCTGCAGCAGATGATATTTGAAATGAAAGAGGGTTTCCACAATCAGCCCTTTATTGGATTCATCAATCACACACCCCACAGTGACAGCTGAGTTTGTCTTTTTAGGCTCAGGACTTGATTACAGAGAGAGTTACACATGACATGGCTGCTCTATTTATTTGCACTGGGATTTATCCGGTTTAAGACATGTTTCCATCCAAATCTTTTTAATCTGACTCTGTTTGTCATGCATTGTAATGTACAAACGTACAAAGTGTTTACATGGTCGCTCTGTGGTAGAAAAGCTTTAACTGGCCTGTAAAAAGCCAAAGACTATACTGAAAATACATAAATGTTCCCAAGATTTATGTTTGGAATAACTCACTGATTGTGTCTTTATGTAACATGTTATATTTAGCCTATGTGATGTGGGGTCTGCTCAGGTTTTTTCACTCGATGTCTTGCGTGATCTTCTTATTGCAAAGATCCAAAGCCTGCATGGAGCAGCTCCCTCCATTCTGCCTCAGCAGGTTTAGGTCAGGTGAAACAGACCGGCTTTGGAGTGATGTCACTGGCTGTCCTGGCTGAAGGCAACTCCCACCTGCTTCCTGATTTCATCCATGATCTCTGTCAGTAAAACAGATTCTGCCAGAGGCATCCGTGGGCTCTCCTTAAGTCCTGCAGAAGAAGAGGCGTGTAAAAGGAGAATCAGGTCAATTGAAAGTCTGTTTACAACCACAGTTCAGTTATGCAGGGATAGATCATGTTCATTAATATACGACGCAAAAACCATGTATGATAACATAATGTTAGAGGATGAATAAGATGAATAACCAGTCAGATTAAAGCAATCTGATCAGAGCAGTCATCAAACAAAATAGATCATGAAAGTAACATTTCACTGAATTGCATCTGTCTGTCTCTCACCTTACCTTTGAAATGTTTGCTTCTATCTGTTCAAAGATGCCATCTCTTTGAAGAGAAATACACAACTTTCCCTGTATCACGACCCACCTTTCAGCAGGCACTGCCTCACTTCCTCTGCCTCATAGCGAAGCCCGGTGCTGTTGGTGAAATTCAAAGGCAGGCAGGGTTCAGGTAATGGGTACTCAGTCTCCTTTCCATTCACCACAAGCGTTGTCGGGCAGTGCATGGGGCCAACAACCTGGAGGGGAAAGAGGAAATGCATCTCTGTGCAAACCAATCACTCAGCTTATTACTCATAAAAAGTAGCGGGTATGGTTCTGTGTCTGAATACTTCAATTTAATTAAATGTGAAAGTAATTAGCAGTCAGCTCAGCTTTTGCATGTCTCAATCATTTCTTAATTAAGCCAAACGTTACAGCTACAAGACTGGCACAGCATACTCTAATGGAGCCCTTGGTGCCACTGATGACAGCATCATTTGAAAGTCGAGTAGAGATCGAGCAGGCGCAGAAGGCAATCCTGTTCTTGGAGAACTTCATCACCACAACCACGGACTCATCCACTCCTGCCAAACATTTAGGAAAGTCAATCACTGTTACTGAAATTAATGCTTTAAATTATTGCAGTGAAGATCAGTTAAATTCCACTTTTCAGACTCTATTCAGTTCAGTTCGCTTCAGGTCATTTCAATGCATTTTTGATCAGCACATCCAATTAGGTCAAATCAGTTCAATTTGGTTCAACTTAACTTGCATGACTTTTTGGAAAAAGTATGGTCTAAAAATACACTATTAAATTGTCAGATATGCCACATAAAGATAGGTTAAAGATAAGAAATGCGTATTACATGCATAGTTTGATGGCTCTTCATTGAAGGATATCTTGCTGTGAGACATGCAGTTACATATTCCCCTGCCACTTTTACTGTATTACCGTATTCTCGGGGGAGGATTTGGATTAGTATGACATTTCAGAGATAAGTCTGGGATTTTCTGTGTGAAGAATTTTTCCCTGAGGTGTTTTCATTTTGGAAAGTTCATAAAAGAAATGATTTCTGAGTCTCACAGAGGGTTTTCATTTTCTACTTTTTATAGAGAGAGCAGTTTCAATGACCGGTTTGTGATCACTGATTCATGATGTGTGGTTAATGATACTAATCTACACCCCACCTATGCAGCGTGACCCGTTTGCTGAATCATACCTGAATCAAGTAGAGTCCCTGTGGCCTGGATGGACTCTGGCCTTTCACCATTAAACACCATCAGCACAAACTGCAGACAGTACACTCCGATATCCAGCAGCCCGCCACCACCCAGCTCTTTCTTCACCGCGCGGGGGATGTGGAGCTGAGGGGAGCCAAAGTAGGCCTTAACCAGCTTCACCTCCCCTACTGTCTCCTCTGCCAGCAGTCTGCGCACCTCTCCGTGGATAGGGAAACAGCGGGACCAGATGGCCTGAGAGAGACAGAGTAGACAAACTAGCACCACTGCAACAGTAAACAGCCAATTCTGGAGTTTTATTGAAGCAGCAACCACATAAATTCACTCCTCCTTCACTCATGTAGGGGCTATTTGTGTGGTGGCGCTATTTGCTGTCGAGGTGTATTAGCCAAAGAAGTTACTAAGCAACAACAAAGGGCTAGTTAGTAGAACCACTGGGGTACAGGGAGCCCCTCTGAAGTTACTAAAGTCCATCAATTACTTCTTTTGGATTTGTCACTGAAATATAGAGTATAACTCAGAGCAAGTAACAAAGAGAGCAACACTGAGTCAAGCCCTGGAAATATTATTTGACCAGAGCCAGGTTTATTAGACTAACTAGAATTAATGGCCATATAGCAGTCTGACTTCACGCAAGTGTTCCTGAAGCTGATTTTCGAAGCCTTTCAGTAACCGTCACCAAATTGGAAACGATGACTTAGTCTAACGTTTGGACAAACTACCAAAAGCAGGTATTTAGCCTCCTCCTCAGAAAGAGCTAGAGAGTGCCTGCCTGTCTGTCCGTCAAGTCAGCATTGCCTCTGATTCGCTAACCTTGTAACCTTAAAAACTTTGAAAGAAATCTGTTACAAAAAACACTTACAGTGGACACTGTGGGAGCAGTGACTAAAGCAGGTTTTTCTTTTTCTTTTTTTTTGTACCAGGTTGCAAATTTTGCCCTAAATATGGGCTATTTTTGGTTTAGTGTGTTTTTAGTGTCTGATGCTTCTACAGCCAGGAAAACACAGTTTTTAGCACTTCTGAAGCAGCATAATTTCTCAAGACTGGGAGGTTGACACTTGAGTTAACCCCTGTTTGTAGTACTTATGCACTGAGCTAACTGGTTGTTTGTTTATGCATAATTTCAACACAGATTTAAATAAGGTGTTGGACATCTCTGAAATGTTTAACATGCTCATCTACAGCAAAACATTCACTCATGCTGGATAAAAAGATACTTTAAAGGATGATGAATGTTTGTCAAGGTCATTGCCTTCCAGTTGTCCTGTGATAACCCCAACAGCCATCAAGCAGTTGGGTTCACCTCTGCATTCCTACCTCCATCAGGAAGACGCTGTTTTTCTTGGCTGAGGCAACAAGGTCCTTCACCTGTCTGACATTCATGGCAAAGGGTTTCTCACACAACACGTTCTTACCAGCTTCAAGGAACAGCTGGCCAACTCGCCAGTGCTCTGTGTGCAGCACTCCCAGATGTATGATGTCTGTGAGGATACACATATTCCAGATTCAGCCTTAAACAGTGACACAAACCCATCATTGCTGCCTATACATTTAAACTCACCGATATCTGGGTCGTTGGCCAGCTCCTCATAGCTGCCATAAGCTTTGGTAATACCATGCTTCTTGGCAAACTCTTGGGCGCGCTCTAAGCTTCTGGATGCAATGGCTATTATCTGTAGAAATAGAAAAAACACAAAAACAAATGTGCTGCACTGTTAGGCCATCCTGAGTGACAATGAAGATGCGGTGAGCTTGCTGGATAAAGATGTAGTACCCGGTGATCTCCAGGAGGCAGAGTCTTCAGAGCCACGCTGAAGTCGTGGCAGATCTTCCCTGCACCGCACAGTCCCCATCGGGTTGCCATGTTGAATTATATGGTAAGTGACAAATGAGCTGGGTGGTGCTTTAGTGAAGATCTGAGCTGCTGGCGAGGTATGACCTTGGGTAAGGTTGCACGTTCACGGGGAAGAAGCGCACTAAACGGCTACGCCCCCGAGCCAAGCAGCAGTTCAGTTAGAAGGCTCCTGCATTTATATGCAAGGGAGGCAGGATGTGTCACCTTCCTCCTGCTGTAACCCTGAGGTGCAGGGTGCAACACACACATAAATAAACACATACACGCACACAGGGCTGTGTTGTTGCTGACACAGGCCTGTCAATCCAGGCTGAAGTGGTTTGTGCCAGTTGTCTCTAACAATCTGTAACAGCACCATAACTAGAGCTCTTATTATTAACACACTAAGGGGTAAAAGTTTACCGTTTAATATGTAAAGGGGCAGAGGGCTCACCTTGCCCAGAGATCAGCACTCTCTCCTACTAGAGAAGTAGCGTGCTGGGTCCAGACTGCTTTGTTTTCCACTGAGCAAGGCACTGATTAGCCTGCAATACTTTGACAGCCCCACAGAGGCCAATGATTAAACCACAGTCTGGTGGGGGTTGTTGTGGGGTAAATAGATCTGCTGGGTTCACAGAATGCTCAAGGAGCCCACGGCAGTGCAATTTAACTGGCCAGTAAGCTGAGCCAGGGTGACTATGGAAAAGCATCAGCTCAGTTGCCCTTGAGCTAAATATTATCCGTTTAGCCAGACAGGCGGGTGTGTAAACTTCCTGCCACATGCTGCCAGTAGAGGACACTGTGTTGTCAGCGAAGTTTACTCTCTCTCTCTCAAGCTCTGAGGATTTGGCATGGCTCATTGTAAGGAATTATATAAAGGTTTGAAGAATTAGGTGAGCCAGGAAGAAGACGCATGCACTTTGGAAAGTATCTGCCATGAGTCATGTTCAATTTGTTGATCTATTTTAGTGAGAAAGAAGTATTTTTGTGCACACTTTGATGATATTTGGCCAGGTCTTTTAATATTTGAGCATATATTTTCTGCAGTAAGAAGGAGATGCATACACATGTACAGGCATCCAGTTTGACCTATATTCAGGCCATTGTCTGTCATAGTATATGATTTTTCTCATTTCCTGCTGGTACTAAATGGTGATTGGGTTTACATGACAACATAGTCTCAGTGTTTTCATTATACAAGAAAAAAATTAATCAATGACTCTTCTTGCTGGCTTTTCCTTTTGTATTTTACTTCCAAATGAATTCTGGGAGCTGTGTGCCGTTGTCATAACAACAAGGTGCCAGCTGGGCAATTTGTATGCAAATGGCATTGGGCCTGGCCTGATATCCTTGTCTATACCACAGGACCTGGTTACCATGGGAATGCCCAACTCTGCCTTGAGTAATTGAGACTTTTTTTTTTTTCTTTTCCCACTTTTTTTGTGAGAAATTGCACAAGAACACAAACACACAGTGACATCATCACAGGTGCTGGGAAAAAAGGGGAGAGGTGTGAAGGAGGAGGTGTAACCTGGCAGGGCAAGTGCAACTAGATTTTGAATTGGTGTGAAGCAATGGGTTGGTTCTGAGCTGCCAGTAGACGGGCTCATGATGCAGAGGCTCAGGTGGGCAGGGGAGGGTTTTCTGGACAGGGCTACCTGACAATCATACATTTGGACCCTGTCCTCCTCATCCTCACATGCTCCGTGGATTCCTCCTCATGAGCAGAGATACAACCCCAAATTTCCTGCAGCGAGCATTGCCTTTTCTGCTTGAGCTCAAGGTCATAATAACAAGCCTTTAGGCTAAACTGATCCATCTTTCAGTATTAATGAGGAGCAGCCATAGAGTAGGTATCACATGGTGGAGCTTTGGATGCTTGAAATCTGAGCCTGGCCTGGGGATAGAGGCTGAATGGTCAAGACGGCTCAAGAAAGTGAACAGTGACGAGCCGAGTCATTCAGAAACTTGGCATGCGGAAGGAAGCCAGCGCCTCATTAATTCAGCATGGCCAGGACGATTGCCTTCCACTCCTATCACTTCTCACTATCTTTATTTGATTAAGAATTCATGCATCATCCCTCGTCTGCATCTCTTTTCCACCAGGGCATGGAAGAATGGCATCCAGAGGGTCATGTGACCGGTCCCAGCAGTTTCCTTGAAGGGGGACAGATCACTTTGCGTGTGAAGGTGGTTGATCACAGCAGACAGTTTGGTTTCACACATTGTCATGTCATTTCATCTGCGAATCTTGCTGTCAGAAAGACTCTGCCCCCCTTTTGTCATTGACAGTGGCAATGCAGCACTGTTAGGATACAGCCTCCAAACTCAGATCATGCTAATGATGGTGCCAATACTTTTAAACTTCTGATTTGGAAGGGCATGCAAGCAGGCCACAATCCAAATTGTCAAAAGTTGTGAATAAGCATGACTTTTATGACACTAACTTGTTATTTGGAAATAATTCTAATTTTATTTGGTTTGATTTTATTTTTTGCATAGTAATTGAAGGTAGTAAAACCCACTTTAATCCTCTAGAACCCAAGTTACTAGTTAACAGCTCCATATTTCATCAGCAACTCCAACTTAATGGGAAATAAAAAGGACCAGGGAGAGGCACCCTAATCCTGTTTTGATTGATGTGGATATGCAGAGGCTTCTTTACCCCCTCCATCAGTTGTCAGTGTAAGCGAGAGCCATCTTCCTGCTGTGTATTTTTTCCTTCATGAGGGGGAAAGACGAACTGTGCTGTAGCAGTTATATGGGCGCACCATCACTCCTTCATCTCTGTCTCAAGGTCATTGCCAAGGAGGGGTGACAGGCTAGACAAGCGCCAGGAGGTGCCAGCCATTTTGAAGGGAGGTTGGGAGTTTGATGAATCCAGGGAGGGAGAAAAAAGAGAAAGAGAGAGAAGGAACTGTGCAGCAAGGAGTAATAAGTCATTTTATCAATGCTACAGCATGTTCTGATGTGTGGGCCGGGTTATTTCTTTTGCCATTGGAAAAAAAAAAAGTGTGAAAAAGGGAGACTGAGAGGAGTGAGGAGCTGAAATGGGGCCCTTTGAATCGGCCAGCATTGTGGCATTTTGGCCCTTTGAGAGTCCTATCTTTGTCTGCAGCACACACACACTGGGAGGCTGAGCTGTGGAGCAAGAGCATGCTGGACCAGAGCTGACTTAGCAAGCCTTCATCTGGATGTTAGTGACAGGGAGTGGAAGTGAATACAGCCACACATAGAGCTATTACATCAAGTTACCATCCTGCATTTGGAACCACTCTCCTTGCATTTTCATGGTTTTTATCAGGCAAATCCTTGTTTGCCATGGCGAGCTGTTCTCTCTTCATGCTTCTTTTCTGCTGAAACACTCATGCAACTAGACAGGGATGGATGCATTATTAGGCAACGTATCCGCGAGGTGGTTATCATATTTTATTCTTGTCAGTATTCCGCATTTAGTTCTTGCGTGGTTGCCTGTCCCAGGTCCATATTTTACACTATTAATTGCAAATCTCAGAGCAGGCTAACAGCAACTGACTGTGCAGCCGCTTCCCAAATGCCTCAAAGCTATGTGACCTAGTCCTAACATCTGTGAGACAACACACCCCAAACACATTTCAAGCTAAATTTCCTCTTATGTAACACTTGCAATGTCTCAGTGTAGTGTAATCTTTATTTGCAAACCAAGTAACAATAGTTATTTTTACTCCAGGCCAAAGATGCAAGGAGGAATACAATGCTATCATGTTTAAGGCTGAAATATGGATTCTGCAGAAGTTGCATTTGTTGTTGTTTTTTCTGAAACATGCATTTTCATATTTTTATATGTTATATTTTATTCATATGATAATGAAATATTTCAGAGAGAAAATAAAACACATTACTGTTGAGCAATGTTAATCCATCAAGTTTCAAAAACTATTCAGCATTCACAGCAATTTTATGTAGAAAGATGTAATGAGCGACAATTTATGCTTCATTTGTAATACACATAATGTGGTCATGCTGACTGATTCCAATATGTTGTATTAAACATTAGATATATTGTCTTTTTGTCCTACAAAAGAAGTTTCCCTAATAAATCAAGCCTTTGAGAAAGTGGTTTCACTCTCTCTTGTGGTGAGTGTTTATTTCTGACTGAGTGCTCAATAATGACACTGGTTTATCAGTGCTGTTGTTCCATTTGAGGATGTACTTTCTGTCTCCATTAGTGTCAGTCTGAATCAAGGGAACACAGGCCACACTCGCACTTTTACTCCCCTTGTCTCTTTTTTCAAGCTGTGTATTACTTCCTCTCTCTGACACACACACAAACAAAAGAAGTCGCATCTCTGTTAATGTCCACCGGTGCCACTTAGTATCGTCTAGCTGAGATTGTGCGAGGCGTCATGGGGGCGATCACAGAGCTGAGGTGAGTGGCAGATACCTTACTGTATCAGCCAGCTGATAAAGTCCATTTAGGTTGTGTGATGATGGTTTTAGTGATGTAGAGCCATCATCTCTGTCCTGTTCTACACGTCCTGAGGTGATGCAGTGAGAGTGGTGTGACGTCTGCATGTCTGAGGAATGCAGCTGAAGTGTTAGTCCCACTGAGCTCAGATTATAACTGCTGTCTCTGATGTGATGATAGAAGTATATAGTTGTTGTGGGGTTGCCTAGGGACATGACACCATACTATTGGAGACAGAACAATAATTTTACACTTGGCTACAACTAAAAGTTTGATCACTAAAGTGGGGCAGATTTCGGATAACATTATTTCTAAAATAAGATCATGAACCAGTAATCAATAAGAGAAAAAAAGGATGAAATGATTTCACAGAGCTTTGGTGATTCATCACCATAGAAATATTTGAATTCGGCTGATTTTTCATTGTTCTGTAACGGTGTGATAGCTGGCATTAAATGTTTTCTTTGTTCAGTTTTTAAAAATCTAATTTCACAACTTAAAGGAAATTTTGGATCTTTTAAGTTTGTGTCAGTTTGGTGCCTCATGTGGACAGAGCAGTCTTTGTTTATCTTGTTCTCATGCT